ATTATTTATTTTCTCCTACTCGAGAGTAATTCATTATCCCAGGTTAAATCGCGTGGCGGTGATATTTCTCTCGTTACTCCGATATCGTATTCTACTTGAATTCCTTGCATAATAATAACGCGTTTGGGTATGGGTATACTCGCGCTGAAACTTGTCGCATAAATTCTAATTACAGCTCGACGAGTGGCGTTGTACACCTAATTTCAAATTCACAACTCGATAACGCAAAGGACTGCTATCGTGGCTGGGATTCGAACATTTTCGAGTAATCCCTTGGACTTGGTAAATTTTTATTCGAAAAGGGAAGAACATAGATTCTCTGTCTGCAAATCACTTTGTTTCCACGAGACCGCGTTCTTCGACGAAAAAGAAGGTTGATCGGGTCGAAGGATCGCGTTCTCCTCGTCACAGGAAAATCGCATTTGTCGACGACCGCGCCCCTTACGAAGGGTGGATCCGCCCCTGACCCATTTCGCGACGCAAATTTCATTCGGATAGCCCGGAGCTTCGTCGACGGTAGAAATTTCTACGCGCTCCTCGACTTTCACCCTTCGACGTTCGCCTGCGGGCCGCGTATTTAGATACATCTAACCGTAGAATGGATAACCGGGTTGGCCTTGCAGCGGTGAGGGTTGCTTTCGAAGTCCTCTGAATCCCGAACCGTCGTACAATCAAAGGGCGTATCTCGCTGTCTGTCGCTATCAACAGCCTTATCTCGCCGTTCCAAACCACCTAATAACGGGTTTAACATTCGACTGTAAGTCGATCCGAACTGGATGTGGGTTAAGTTTCTAATTCCATGGCTGGTGAATCAGAAACTTCCGGCCCCCGCCCCCGCGCCACGCTTACTTTGTGTCTGGATACTTACAATTAGTCTAATTATTATTGAACTGTAACCTGGCTCACGAATTTCCGGTAACTGTATCGTCGAGCTCTCCGCGTTTCTCGTCGATTCGCGTTTCCTGTGGATTTACGCGTGTTTACTTATTGCGGGAACCCGTTGACCATCGATAAAACACCTAATTAAAGCGTCGATTAATTCGTTTAAACGCTTTGCGTTTGATTTACATCTGCGCAATTATGGATATCAGGTTGCTGCATATTAAATGACCGATATGGAAACGCACAATGTTCGATACGATTTCATGGGAGAAAAGTATCATAAAAGGGCACCAATAAAAAATTGCTATTTGCGAAAAGTTAAAATCGTCATGAATAAACAATATTTCCAGTCGGTCCCGTGTTATCGACGAGTGCTTTATTTGGCTCCCGTTCGTTTGCTCGGATGAAAGGTAATTTTTTTGTCGATTTGCCGGAACGCTAGGTTCGACCCTATCCGAGTAGTGTTCAGCGAACCTAACCGTTTTCCCGCGGATCGATGGGAAATCCAAACGACGATCGAATTTGCATAAACGCGGCGAACCCTTTAACACGAGCGAGAGCGAATGATGCAACGGGGAAAAAAACTGCTGCCCGAAATTCGATTACCGGGTGGAAATCGTTAACACGCCGGAAATCGATTACGTCCGCGCTGCTTCCACCGTTGGCAGTAGTTTCTCTTTAAACAATGCCACGCTTTAGAACGGTGTCACGTTGACCGTGTCTCGTGTACATTTTTCGAGCTATCCAATTTCCGGATGAAGCGTGGCAATGTGTAAAACCAACGGGCGAAATAAAAGAATTTTTATTCATTTTCATGCCACGCTAGATGCCCAGACGATCCGTTACTTTTTTTCACGGCTCAGATTTATTTCCATAGCTGTCTAACGTTTGCTTTCGTTCGGCAGGAAGCAAGTTTCTTATTAAGTACCCGGGATAAAGTGGTTACACCGAGACAGAGGAGCATTAATGCCTGAAATCGATCGGCACAGGTCTCTGCCCCGAGGCCGTTCGCGGATGACGTTACTACCGTTTTAACGAAGGGGTTGCCACCAAGGAATCACATTTTCCCCGCAGACGATGATTATTTAGATTATCCGCGATCCGTCGAGTAATCCCGTGCAAAGAGGCAGCCAGGTTCGCGTCGTGACTCGCAATCGCTTTGATGACATTCGTCTTCGAAGTTGAATCCCCCCGGGGCTGTGTTTCGTGTTCTCTTATAAACGGAACGAACGACGAGCTGGCTCTTGTCGCGATTAAAAGCCAAAGCGCAGTTCGATTAATTCCGGTTATTTGCGTCGGATCGATCGACTGGAACAGATGGTTTATTTGCTGTCATCCCTTTGCTCTCATCTCTTGTTCCATTCTCAGACGATTTTCTTTCCAGTCCCTTACACGTCGGCTGTCACACGGAGTAGCTTCAATTACCTTTCTACCTCATTCTTGTTCCTTCTTTAATGTAACTCGGATGTGAAGGTTTTTGTGATCGCGATTGGAAATAATTTAAGGGCTTTCGATTCTACCTGGGGAGAGTTGAAAAATTTTATTCACTGCATAGAATCGATGATGGTGGATGATCAAAGACCCTAGTCTAGCGTTGAGCACCCGAGATAATTAGGCCGAAGCGTTGAATTAATGACAGGTGAAAACTTGGATTGAGTTTGAGATCAGGTGTAGCCAACTTCGATAATTAACATGTATTGAAATAATGTCGGTAAGAACAAGCTTACGCGTCTGAAACAGAGAAAGGCAGCGCATAGGACGTATAACACGAATACAGAGTGGCCGATAGTTTACATCCTTCCACTATTTTACACCGAGCCCATCGTATTCTCGCGAGCAAATACGAATTTATATCGACCTTTCGCGCCGATACGAGCGTGTAAGCGCGCGACTCAGCGTTCCGACGGGATCGTAAATTGGCGGATAATGCCCGGTGGCACCATAAAACATTTCTGCACTTTAACGTCCGTCCGGAAAACGACAACGAGGTCCGTGTATGAAGCACGGTGGCGCGGCTCATTCCCGTTGTTCGGACGTTGAGAAATTAACGGCCACCTTCCGGCTCCTGGGGCCCGTTTCCGGTATCACCGACGGACCTCTGTTAAAAGCGAGAAACCATCGACCGTGCCGCTAACGATAACGTTGAAATTATCTTCTTTGTTACGCCTTGACTGGAAAGAAGAAAATTCTGAGAAGAATTTCAATAGCGGCGAAGAAAGATAGAGAGATCCGTGAAATTTCGAGGATCGGTGGATAGGAACAGACAAGTTGGCAGGATGCCTGGGCAGAAGCTAGCAGAGGATCATTAGGATAAGATTGAAGATTACAATGGAGCAAATTGCGAAGATGTATGGAGGTAGCCAGCCGAAGGAAGCGTTTACGTAAATTTAGCATTGTCTTGACTGCGAACGCGATTACCGGTATCGCATTATGAATTAAAGCCAATTAGGAATCGACGTAATCAAGGAGATAGAAGTCTAATATTGAACACCAGGAACAGATCAAACGTCGAAGGATTCTCTGCCAACTCTGCCCAGAACTCGTACCAATGTTCCGGCAAGTTTCGAGGTTTCGACCGGTCAATATCTATGAGCCGCGAACTCGAAAGTTCTGGAAAATAGTCGAATCGAGCGACGCGACGGAACTAATTAATTCGAGCGAGGGACTCGTGTAAACTGGCCGCGTATTTCTCGCAGGAAGGACGCATGAATCGAGCGCCGGGAAGTTCGATGGCTTTGAAGTTTCCCGATTGGACCGTAGAACTTTTCTACGGTGTTTTATCGACGGGCTTCGTTGCTGGTTCGCCGAGAGAAATCCAGCATTCGCTAACACGCGGCGGCGAGCGGAAAGAACGGAGTGGACAGAGAAATATCCTCGTCGGATGCACGGCAGCATGATTCTTCGGGTTGCTCGTGCGGAATAGACATTCAGCTCGGAAATCAGCCTCGTTAGTGGATGTACGAAGACGGGAAGATGGAAATAGATAGAGGAAGGCGAAGTGATTCACCCTGGTACATGTACCTTCATTCTCATTAGATTCTTGTAAACAGGTTACCTATGCTCGTCTACGTATAATATTCATAGACACGAATATGTAAGAAGGGAATAAATGAACTCGGTCGACTGTCCTAGACAACACGGGGGGAGAAAAGGGAATGATGGAAGAGGAGGAGAGAAGGAGTCAATCGATATGCAGAGTTTTCCCAATAAGACTGGAAGGGTATTTTATTTCCGGTCTCTCGATCGCTAGTACCCGGTCCTTTCGTCGTAAACTACCACCACGCACAGACGTTCGCCGTTTCAGAAGGAAAGGGTATCTAGATGTTCGATGGTCTGGGACGAAGAATCAGCGGGAAAAGAACGTGGTTCTTTTTTTTTCTCTCGTTGTAGGACCGTTCCGTATGCAAAAGATAGAACGTGCGCCGCAATCTGAACGAAATCTCGAAACGCAATTTCCTGGACAGCCGACCGAACGGACACCCGACTTGCCGCATACCATACCGACGGGACATCGATCTCTCGACAACGAATGCTGTTTTAATGATGCATCGATGCATCGACCGACGCTCCTTCCCTCCGTTGTTTCCCTTCCTGTATCGCTTTTAGCGCGGATGATCGATTCCAGACAGCTTTTTCCATGAAGTTCGGTTGAAACGGAACATCTTTGTTTTATTTGTCTCGATTGGTGTCGATGTATCAACCCTTTTAAACGTTTTAAATCGAGGTTTAATAGCCTGAGACGAATGAAAAGAAATAGGACCAAGTATTCCTAGATGACTAGTTTGAATTAATTACTTCGACGTCTATTGGTTTCTATTAGCTAATAACTCGGCAAGCTTAAACCCGGGGTGCAGCATGGTGGTTCGTTGAATCAGATCGCTTAATGTGGGCCCTCGTAATTCTAGACCCGTCGCGTCGTCTATTTTCCGGCCGATACTGTCCATCAGATCATTCTGACGAGGCTATTGTTCGTTCGAACAGAAGATTTCGTTCATTACGTAACGCCATCGGGTTACGAAGGAACCGTGGATTGAAAGAAAATTTCAAGCTTAAATTTAAAAATATTTTAACACGTTAAAATCAGTATTATTACTAATAGATTGATTGTTAATTTTCAGGTGAAAGTGATGTTGAAAGTGTCACCTGGCGAGGGTGGGAGCTTCTTCAATGCCGACAAGAGGAAAAAGCAGGTGACGCTGATCGATCCAACAGCTGGACAATCGTCATCGGCTGATGATCGAAGACCAACGGTGGCAGCGCCCAAAATGTTCGCCTTCGACGCGATATTTACCGAAGAAGATTCTCAGGTAAGCATGAAACGTTCAATTTTCCCATCCGTGTCTCGAATAATTCGCGGATACCTATTTTATGACGGTCGTTTCATCCTCTTGGAAAATCCAGAGTTTTACCGTCGATCTTTTATTTCTCGTAACCGAAGAATCGTTTCTCCGCCGTTGTTCGGCTACCTTCGAAATCGTCGAGAAGCACGGAAGTGGCGGCGTTTCGCAGATAAATAGGAAAAAGAGAAATTCTAGGGAGAAGGGGATGGTTAAAGATGAACGGGTGGAGAAAGTTGGAACGTCTACGTGCTCTGTCGTCGGCTTACGTTCATCCTAGAGACGCGAGAGACGTCCCTGCCGGGCGCATAACTAAACTAATTTCCCGACCTCTAAACTCCACCTCCCGACAGGAAAATCCACTCCACCCCTTGCTGCACCATCTCTCAACATCCCCTCGGGCGAATGTTGCTTCTTGCCAGTGACTTCTATCCACGATCCTCCAGCAAATCCAATCGAATCCTGATAGTCGTGATTATTTTCGAATTTGCGTACCGGAGTACTCTTCTCTAACAGGGGAACACTTTGTCCCCAACTTTTCTCGCCACGATTATTCTCATCCCTTATAGAGCATTCCTCGAGCATCTACCAATCGGGGGTATTCTTTAATTTAGGTATTTAATTAAAATTATCTTTCGACTGTCTAAAATTTCTCTACATCTCCTGAAAGAATATAGTAATCCTACTAAACGTAACTCGCTGCTAAATCATCGTTTTCCTTCGCAACGACGTTTCCGCCTCGTCGATCTTTCTCCAGATAAATGAAAAGGACTGCCGCGCGTGCATCCATCCGCGACGCAGAGCGGATCGATCAGCAACGTCTTCTCGTCTTCCAGCAGCGAAAGACTCTCGCGATTCTCTTCGTCGTCTAAGCACGACAGAATTTTATTCCGTGGCATTGATGAACGACGTCGGAGAAGAATGCGTTTCGGAGGTGTAGGAAAGAAAGTGGCTTGCAATATCGCGCGATGCATGAAGGTACGCGCGTGTACGAGATATTTCGGTGCTCTCCGGGGACATTATCGAGCGCCGGATTCAAATGAGCCCGGAGCTACTCGGTTTTCCCAGCCCCTTTCACTCAGCTCTCTCTATCCCACGCTGGCTGCTGGTCCTTCCCCAGGGACTAGCCCTTCGTTCCTTCCCCTCCCTTCGGCCCTTTGACGCAACCCGTACCCTTCTATTCGGCTGTGTTTAGAAGAATCCGATGGAAAACGATCGATTGATTCGATCAAATGTCTGTCGGCCGCGACGATTGTCATCGAAAGTCACAATGGCAACGTTCTTCTTTCTTTTTATCCTTTTTCTCTTCTTTTTTGTCAACCCACCCCCTCAGTTCGGTTGTACCATGGATGGGTTGGAATAGATTCTGCTGGTCGAAACGTTTCCTGAACCGAGTGAAACTTCAGAATCGAAGGGTAGGGAATGGGACAGGAAAGTTGCAGCGTGGCCTGCCGTCCTGGGGGACGTTTCGTCCTTTTCGACTGGCCGTCAAACGCAGAATCGCGTGAATATTTTAAAGAGCGTCGCGGAACGATACGGGAAAGTCCTGGAAAAGTGGTTCATCTTTAACCAGTGTCCCTCTCGTACGTCTCGGTTTTTCAATTTTTTCCGTCTGTCTGCTCGTGGCTCGTAGATTACGTAAATTGGCAAGGGACGAGAATTGAATTCAGAATCGAATAGCAGCGAATTAACGGGATGATTAAATCTGTCAATAGCCGCGTTCGGTTGCTATTCTTCAGTTCTGATTAATTCGACTGTGAAACTTTTTTATTATATTAATTTTCCATTGCACAAAAGGTTTGAAATAAAATCTCCGTACGCGACAATGGATCTACGAGCGGATTGAAAAACGCACGTATCACAGGGTCGACTGCGTTGAATTACACACGTCGGAAATGTAATTCAGTCCGGTTGCAATTCTCGCTCGCCGATAATCTTCGGCCAATGGATACCTTTGCTACCTGAGTCCGCAAATACGCGAACCGCGAATACTCGGTCGCTGGCTGTTGTGTGGAGAAGCGTCCCAATATGACGCGCAAACAGACTGCGTCAGGTTGATTATGGGTCAGTCGTAAATTAACGTCGTTGATCGAGACCATTGGTCATTTAGCGTTTGCGCTGATCGATCTGTGCACGCGAAACCACGAGCAAAGTTTGTTACAAATACAGCGGAACCCTTTAACATCTCGACCAAAAAGAAAAATTTCCAATAACATGTAGTACATCGTTATCGCGGTACTTCTCCTACGTTTCGCCCGAAGGTAACACGATTCCTCTGCTGTCTAGATAAAAGGGAACAAATTTTGCTCAACTTCTATACGTGAAAATAATAAAGAAACAATTTTCGCGATACAAATTCTCGACTTACGGAAGAAAATTGATCGCGAACCGACGTTACGTCGACTAAGCAACGGTCGAATCGTCCGATAAATTCGTAACATCGCCTACCTGTCAGGCCCATTCATCCCCGCGAGTTGCGACCATTATGTAAGAATAGACGCGTACAGGTTGCCGTTCGTCGTTTCTTTCACGCTCGCTCGAAAGTTTATTTTCCACGGTAGACGAGGAAAAGGCGGAGAAGAAAGAACCGCCCCTGCGAAGGGAAATGTCTTTGAAGTTCCAATTTGTTCGATCGTCTTCCCCGTTTCAGGCGTCGTTATGCGAACAGTTGGGTGTACCTTACAACGGACACGGCAATTTGCCAAGCATTATACTTCTGATACTTCGTACAATGCTGGAGAGATACTATTTTTGAAGACGACTGTGCGAAATGTCGAAGGAAAGTATGCTGGAAATAGTCGGGTTGATTCGTGGCCGGTGTCGGTGTGCAAATGAAACCTGGCCAAATTAATTGAACATCCATCTCAATTACGGAGCTCCTACGTGGCTGAATGCGCCGCTAGACGCGTTCCCGTTCGAGATCTTACGCGTGTGTAGACCGCATATATCGCCGATGGCCGCCGACAATTCTATCCCCGTGGACGAACCGACCAGGACAATGCATCCTGGACAGAATAATTCACCGGGACCATTATGGTCGGTCCAGGACAGGGGCTTTATTATTGACTTACGACTAATAGTCACGCTGTGGATTACGCGCGCGTGGACGATACGCTGGTGTACGCGCTTGCGCTCGTCTCTTCTCTTTCTCTCCTCTTCATTCAATCTTTCCCTCTCATCGAATTTTACTTTCTCTGTCCGTCACTGATTCTCTTCTCTCCCGGAACCGTAGCTTCGATCTATTGCTCATTTCCCAGTGAATGCTGATCGAACGTTCCACGATACCTCGCTTCCTTGTTCTCCGTGGCTTTCCGTTTCTCCTGACGAAAATGGATCGACCACGCGGACGGGATTACAGCTTTCCGAAGATTGCCGTATCCACGCTGAATTCTTTATTAAGTCAACGCGCGTCGGAGCAAAGGCTGACGAATTCTTATTAAAGAATCCGTCGATACCTTTCGCGCCGACCGCTGCCCTTCTAATTTGCGGCACGATTCGATTATGGAGATTACCGAAAAATTATACTCCACCCTCGTTTCGGTGGAGATTAAAACCGGAGGGCTGCGAATGGATCGGGGTTCAGAAAGTTTCTCCTGTAAATTGTAACCTCAGGTCTTTGAAAGATTATTTTAATTTGTATTTCCAAGTACACGTAGAATTTAGTGGACAAAAGAATCGATTCACAGTGTCCAGCCCACTTAGTCGATTCTCGTTTCGGTAGAATCAATCGTGGCACAAGATAACCGTATCTCGTTTTCCCATTCATTAAATTCATTCATCGTGTCACGTTCAGCCTCGCCATTATTCCTAGACCCTTGTACACGAGCCCTGCTGTTTCGGCACACTTCTGATCACTGCACACTTCGTAGACATCGGAAAAATGCATCCGTCAGACGGTCGAGAGGAATCGTCGAACATAGGGCAGATAGGGGTTGATAGCGGACGTTTCTAGGGTAGGGGTCAGGGTAATCTGTAAACCAATCATACGGGCCCGTGGAACGGATCCACCCCAATTGGCCGCATCTATATTCCTTGTTCTAACCCAGACCGGATCCGTTCGACCGGATCTTGGCGTAGTCCGACCGAACCGCGCATTTCCATATTACAGTAAGATTAATTCGGCCCACGACTCGGACCGACGGCTTTCACGAAGGGTTGATGAAGTTTGGCAGGTGTCTGCCTCGCGTCAGACGTCTTCAAAGCAGAGAACATCCTGACCTGGCGGACAGCAATGCAGTTTCCGGTTCAAACACAAAGGAGTATCCCAGAGGTAGTTGAAAGAAGAGGGTAGAAATAAATAAAAATGACAAATATATCCGGATAGTAAAGCGGATAGAGTTACTAATGAGATTTCCATTTTTCGATCAGAATACTTTTTCGATCCGATCATCCACCACGAGAGCAGCGCGTTGTTCCGGTTACTTTTTGGCCCGGGGTGAGTCGAGGGTGCTGTTGCTTGCTCCCCAGGCGCCAATGACGCCAATCTCCCGTGTAAATCGCGACATATTTCACTGGCTGCCGAGGCTTGGGGTTACCCGTGAATCTCCATACCTCCACCCTCTTCTTTCGCCAGCCCTCGATCGGTCTTAACGCGTTACTTTGATACTAGCGCGAGCTGGATAAAAAGTTCTTCTCCGGTTGTTATCGGTCGGCGAGAAGTTGCTCGTTCAACTTGACGAGTTGAAAATTTCGTGTTGAGTCTGCTGGAAGATGAACCCTTCGAGAAAAGACGGTGGAAAGGTATAACGCATCCTTCCTTCGATTTTCACCCTCGATGCCCGATTTAAATTTCCAAAAAATAGAACGAATTTATTTCTAAACGAGTAAGTCGTCGAACGAATCACGGTGCGGTGAACAAAAACCGGATGTCACGCATATGGCAACGCAATTTTCGGGATTATCGGCCCGTGAACGCGAACCGACCAAGCTTTCCGCGTGTACGTGCGCGCGAAACGAGAACGACCAAGCACCCCCTCAGGCCTGCTTGTTTTTGATACGGTTTTCATCGAACGACGTCGCTGCGTTTCTGCGGTCTCGATGCAGAGCGCCAGCTGCGTGTACATGGAAACGCGAAATCGCGTTTTCTTTCAGATGTGTACCTTGCCCTTTTTGCAGAACAAGAGTGGCATAAAATTATCGTAACCAGACGCTGTTACGCGTGCCGAAATTGGTCAATATCTATTCAGGTAGTCAGTGGAAACTGCCAAGTATCTTTCTCCATCGCATATACGTAATAGACTTGATTAACTTGTACGACAAACTTTCAACTGAAACAAACCGTACTTTCCTTCCATCAACTACGACAGGATTTTATGAAAACGGGAAGACGTATTTCTCGATTCTTTCGTTCTTTCACGAAGAATCTTCAAGCGACGAATCCATGAAAGCCTTGCCAGGGGGTTGAAGAAAATTGAGGTTGCGACGCCTGTTTCGTTCACCGCCGTCGACATCTGGAAACTTGCGAATTAAGAGATTCGCGAAAGGGGGTCATTCGATTATTTCCAGCCATTAAAAGGCTACCCTTTTACCCACGCCGACACCCCAACGTCCCACGACCGGTTTCTCTCTTCCCCCCCATAGCTTCTTTTCCGAACTTTCTTACACGAGTTTTACATTTCGTCGCGCGGACAAGGAGGGTTGCTCGACAGGGTTCGCGGAAGGAAAGAGACGTAAGGCTCTTGCAAGTTCCTTCCTCGACGAAGAAGAAGCTTGTCTCGGCCCACGAGCATCGACGACCCCCTCCTCTTCTTCGACGTTCAACCCTCCGTGTCGTTGGTATTCCACACGACCACGCCAATATTGCGTTACCAGAACGCGTCCTGCAAGTGGAATCGAAGTTACGCAGGGACAGGTCCGCGTCGCTTGTAAGTCACACCGCGACGCCCGCTCCTGCGTCCCTTTTAATTTACACTCACCGAAATTAATGTTCACCGTCCCTTCGGTCGAAGTAATTGAGGCGCTATCTGTACGCACGATTTTTATCAATCGTTCGACATGTCTGAATTAGGGAAAGCTTCGTGATAGGGTAAGTGAAATAGTTTCACAGGGCGTGGAAAAATGGAAATGGACAGATTTCGTTAATCTTAAAGCGTTTTATTGGAATTCAAGCGGTACAGAATATTTTTAACCCTCTCCCTCGTCGAAGGGGTGAAGAAATTTGAATTGAACGCATTATCAGGTGTACGATCCTCGCCTCGAAAGGGGATGTTTTCCTCGCAGCGAACCCTTCGTTCCGCTCAATTCCGAGCAGGGCTCGCGGAATCAAGTGTTTGAGATTATGACGGAGGCTTCGGTCACGTATTTCATTAACCGTCATGCCGCCGTTTCCAAGCGGAGGGAGGCTGTCGGCTCTCTCGAAGGGTGCAGGTAGCCGCGAAATATGTTTGCTTTGCATTATATCCCCCAGGATGATCCCGTTATAATTATGAATGTCCTTGTTGTCCCGTTCTTCGCCTCTTTCGGCTCTGTTAATCTCGTCTCGTCTCGGGGATCTGGAAACGGATCGTTTTCGCGCGATTAAAGCGGATAAGACGTATCCCTAATGCATTTGCGCGGGAAATTCGATCTCTCAGGATCGATGAAAATAAAACGAACGTCGTTGCATCGTCTCGAACTGTTATCGCGGATTAAACAATTTCTTTTTCTCTTGCGATTGAAAGGATGCTTGCTTTGAAACGAGCAACGACAGATTGGAATTACCATATTGGAAGAGGGACTGGACTCCTTATTTCGCTAACCGAAGCGAAAAAAAAGCCCAGCTCGAAAGGTTTCCTCTTTTCTATCCAAATTCGTTCGTTAGGCGTTCTCTCGTTTCTGGAAAACTATCCATCTTCTCCTTTTTTTCAAATCGTTTCCTCTCGCGAGGAAAGACCCGCTTTCATCTCCCCTTTTCCATCTGCAGGCTTCGAGATTCATCCGATTCTCGTCCACGAAGATTTCAATCTTGTTTGGTCGAGGTATCGACACGTCCTCATCTTCCTCTCGATATTCCCAGCAACCTGTTCCCCGTTCCTTCATTTCTCTCCCTTTTTATCCGCCCCTTCCGGCCGCGGAACGTTTGCTAACCCTTGCGAGAGTAAAAGAGAAGGATCGATGCGTTTTCTATATCGACCGTTTCGAACGAATCGAGGTGCAGGCTCGAAGGAAATTCCCGGTCGCTTCCGCAGGAAATTCGCGGGAACCCCGGCAACGAACGACCCTTCGCCGATTCCCACCTTCTCCCCACTATTTTTTTTCTCTCTTTCTCTACGGTTGATCGTCGAAATCGTCGCATCCTCGAGAATCATCGGGTTATCGAGGAGCGAGGAGAAACGCGTAATCTGACGGGAAAATGGAGGAAGGATAGTATAGATAATCTAAACGCGCTCTTTCTCGACACTGGCAAAAGACTTATACAGTCTATGAATATATTAAAAACAACCAAAGACGCTGCCACGGTTTAATCATCCGCTCCTTTTCTATCTCCATCACCGGCGCGTTTATTAAACCGTCCCGCAAACGCTTTCTTAACCACTTTAAGTTAAGCTTCGTCGTTACCCTCGAAAGTAACGCCGTTCACCCCCCTCTGCGAGCCAAGTACACCCCCTGCGACGATCAGCAGCAATTAAAATCGCGTCCATCGTGTTCCATCAACATCCCCTGTCTCGTCTCTTCTCGTTAAATAACTTAACACCAGGGAAATTGGGATAACGCGATTGATATCAATTATCATGGTACATCGCTCGAGGGCAAGTTAGTCTACGAAGGATCGGGGTGCTCGAGATTCTTCGTTGTTTCGAAGAGATCTTTATTCTAATCATTTTCATTTTTCTCTTTTCAGACTGAGATATGTTCGAGCGCTCTGACGGACGTCATCCACGCAGTCATCAATGGAACGGACGGGTGTTTATTCTGTTTCGGACACGCGGGATTAGGTAAGAATTAAAGGAGACAAATTATTTTAAATAATTAGAACTGGTGTTGTCAAATTTACTCGTCCAATTTCAATTCATTCTCAAGAAGGATTCATCGTCGAGTATCCGGTGCAATTAGTAGTACAAACTTCGTTCCACTCTGCATTCCATAATTTTCGTTCATTTTCAAACGACAGACTCGTCTAGCTCTCTGTTGCAATCGTTAGTTAACTCGGGGCGTAAACAAGTTGTCCAAGATATGCCCATTCGTTCTTACGAGTGGGAAGAAACACGGTAACACGATAAAAACGACGAAGATTCCTCGAGCTATTCATATTTCATGTAATTATTTCCACGCTCGGCCCGGCCAGCCGAGACGCGGACTAGACAATAGCGTTTTGTCCACGAGGACGTCGAACCTTGCCGAACAAAGAACCGGCGGAAGAGGAAGACGAAGGCGATGTCACCCCTCGTATGGTAGCACGGAGAAATATTTATCTTGCTTTTCATCCAGAATGATAATTGATTGATCCTCGATTCCACAGTACTAAAATCAACACGTCTTTTCAGCATCTTTTCCACGAGCCGCCCTTATCGAAGTTCAAGTTCTCGCTGCCAATTCTTTACGTAGAATGTTCTCTTTCCGCCAGCATTTTCCGCTAGCTTTTCATCGTTCTCGCCAGGAAGCTAAGCCTCGAACGCGGTCGACGAGACGCGCAAGAGTTGTTTTACATTTTAAGTAGTGATATCGAGTTTGCATGCAAATGCATGATTATGCGAGGAGACCGAGGGTAAGGAAGGTTTTCTCAGCCCGACAATGTTGAGGAAGAATGAGGGGGTGGAAGGTCGCGGGAAAAACGGACGAGGAGAGAAAAGGGTGGAGTCGAAAAGGAAACGGGATAATGTATGCTACTGGGACACGCACCATCTTTCTCATTGCTCGCTTTCAAATCTTAACGCCAACCGGAAATTATGCTCATTCAGGCATGCTAGATTTTCAGTAACAATAATTTTCGTGCTAACGTGATCTGATTCGAAAGTAAAAAAAAAATATTCCCTAAAGAATGCATTAAATTCAAAGTCTTTTACTCAGTCAATTGTAGTCAGATCGATCGTCTCGGTGTTTTTAAGAGCAATTTCAGCCCTCTTTGCTCGCCCTTTTCGAGGGAATTCGATCGCGACGGTATCGACGGCAAGAGAAAAAAGAAGAAAAAAGAAAAAGAGGAGTCGGTAATAGTTCGACAAGACGAGTTCTCGTGTCTGATATCGAGCTCCCTTAACGCGCGATCGTTCGAATTCCCCGCAAACTTCGAAGGGATGATCAATACATATATATATATAAAAGAGAAAGGGAAACGCGATGGAAGAGAAAGATGAAGGTAACGGCGTCGGTGTAGGAGTCTGAGCGAAGATAAAGAAACGCGAGCGAAGAAAGACGTTGGGAAGGAAGCCGAACGAACGAACTTTCATCCCCCTCGCGCCTTCGACGGAGATACTTGAGGCAAGTCCGCGAGCAAACTGCTTTTGATCATCGCTACGACAACGCACTTTCCTCTTCCTTTCTCTCTCCCAGCCCCTCTGCGAGTCATTCTTCTCCCTTCTCTTCTAGTTTCTTTGTAGCCGGACCCGTTCCCCTAACTCTTTACCTCGCCGTTTCCCTGTCGCTTTGACACAGACAGAGAGAAAGATACAACGAACGGGGGACAAAAGGAACGAGCAGGAGAGGCGAGAAGGAGAAGAAGAGAAGCGTACGCATCGTAGAAACGATCGAACGAGCCCGGACAATCTTAAAATAACGCGGAACCTCGACCGAGCGTCGATCGAGCCGCGGAAAGACGAAATCGCAAGATCGACGCGAGTAAGCGACCAAGAAGAAGAAGAAGGAGAAAAAAAAAATGAAAACAAGGGAATCCGAGTCTCCCTTTGAAAGCAACGGGATTTGTCGTACAGAAAATTATGAAGGGTAGGAGCGAAATGTGGGGCGAAGGAAGAGCACTCTGCATGCCAGCCAGACAATACGGTCTTTTGTACTTTGTAACGCGCTGCTAATTACTCTGCATCAGCTGCGGCCCTTAAGGTACACACTGTCGAATCCTTTCATCGCGAGAAACCACCGAAAAAGCAGATTAACCAACGTGAAACGTGAGAGAAAAGAATAAGCACAAGGATGTATCCATCCTTGAACTGGTCGCACCCCTTTCGTATGCAAATACTTGGCAATAATTGTTACTCCTCCATTTTTTCTTCTGCACATTTTCTTGTTACCAGTTTTGGTATTCCTGCGTTAACGTACCATCCCGCGAAGTCGACGAGCGTTAAAATACTCGGCAGAGACGACTTCGATTCGAGTTGCGTTCGAGTAATCGACGGGACCAGACGCGATTCTCTTTACCGCGACTGGGAGGGTGAACTCGAGAGGAATTTCAATCGGCGGGATGCATCGGCTTTAAAGCACTCGGTTACCCGGGAATGTTTCTCGCCTTCTTTCGCCCCGTTCCTCCTCGCGTCGCGGTAAAAGTTCACGCTGAAATTTTCCGCGTTTTCTATCGCGCGAATATACGCGTACATCGTGCACGGGGTAAATTTCAAATATATTTAAAAAATAACGATGGTATCGAATCGAAATATCTTTCCCACGACGATGTAAAAAATATTCAGTCGGTTAAATGCTAATTGGAATTGAAAAATTAACAATTTCTCTCTGTACGTTAAATAAAATGATTTAATTCGCGCAGAGCGTTTGAATCGAAGCGGTAAGTTGAACTCGGACCTGGCGGAAAATGGCCAGAGAGAGTCAGCCTTTTTCCCGGTTTCTAATTAAATAACAACATAATTCACCGTCTTACGGTAAAACAATTAAATAACGCTTAAGATTCAGCGACGGCTGCCGGTGCTTTTCCATTATTTCGTTGTATAGCCGGCAGGCTTCGACCCTCCACCGAATTCTTACGCCTTTCGCTTTCAATTCTCATCCAGTCTCCCTTTCTAACCGTTCGTTTGTCACTTTCTCCGCTTCTTTTCTTTTCTGCGAACACTCCCCGCGCCGTATTGTTTTATGATTTTAATAAGACTCTTTCGTTTCCCTATCAATACTACCCCTTGGTCGCCAATCTTACGTTTCTTTGTAGAGCAAATCCGAAAGTTTCACCCTCGCCACAAGGGGATGCTATTCTAGCGTCTGGAAAAAGTACAATCCAGGGTATTCTTGTTCGATTCAGCGTGGCGAGCCGTGAAGTGTCCTCGTTAGACCCCCTTTTGATTTATATACTCTTTTCAAATAAAATAGATAGAGGGTAGTTTGTTCGACGATTCCTTTCGCAATTTCTCTGACAAAATAGAGGTGGACGGTTAAACCGCGGGGCGCCAGTTTCGATTACATTCGTTTCGGTCGTCACCGGTCAAACCCGCGGATGTTGTAATGGTAACCGAATTAATCGCTTCCAATCTATCCACCGTATAAATTAGATTCCCGTTGATGGGCTTCGTTACGCGTTCGAACTATGATCGAGCGTTTATCGCGCGGCTCGCGCGTTCCCATCGGTCCATCGGCGAATAGTAAACAAATTAATTGTCAAGCCGGACCGCAAATCAGGCATTGCGATTGTTGCGCTCCACGACGACCGACAGATTTGTCCTGTCCACGCATCGGAAGCGGATTTTCAAAGAGCAACCGTGCGAATCGATTGATCGTGGCGGGTGGTAGAGAAATCGATTGTCATTTACTCGACTGTTTGTTCTGACGAGAAAATTTCTCTATTTTCCAGGCAAGTCGCACACGATGCTGGGCACACCGGAAGCGGGTCACACACTCGGCGCGATACCGTGCGCGATCGCCTGGCTGTTCCGTGGAATTTCCGAGCAACGACAGAGAACCGGCGCCAGATTCAGCGTCAGGGTTAGTTGCGTGGAATTAACCGCCGGGCAACAGCAGCTCAGGGATCTGCTCGCGGCACACGCAAACGGTGAGTAAATACGAGCGGTTCCGCTATCCGGGAAATTGCTGCACAGGGAGCCTTGAAAAGGTGATGACGAGCAAACGTTGAGTTGGCTCCCGCCTTCGTCGACTGCCAATTAACCCTCGAATTCGAGGAACTTTTACGGTTCCGTATTAACGCGGGAGAAAGAATGGCGATACAATCTGGCACGATTAACGTCAGCGTCAAGAATTCTCGTTTAATCTATTTCGGTATTCGCTCGTTTCATTTACAGTGATCGACGCGCACGAATCCAGACGCGGTCAGCTTTCATTTAAACCGCAGGAGTTTGTACGGTGTCGGGCGGAGCGCGTTGACCACAGGCTCACGAGAGAGAGCCGGTTACAAATTACGCGCCCAACATTTGTTGCGTAATTCTAGGCGGGCAACTTTTCTCGTTTGAACACGCTCGATTACGATAGCATTGTGTTCCAGCGGCTCGAAGAAACTTCAGTCGTAAGAAACACTTGTCTCACTCGTCATCCCTCGGTTTTAAGAGTTTCTATTCTACCGAAACTCGTTTCTCTCCCTTCGGATCGTCTATTCTCAACAACGGGAGCGTCTTAGTTATATATACAGCAAACTTTATATATATATATATTGTGTAGGGGTTGAAAGTTTGCTGGGCGTTCCGCGATAGGGTTGCGAACGTTTGCCGCAATTAATTCGATGCCTGGAACAATGCGGGCAGGTACAATCGTTTTGGATTAATTAGTGCCGAGTGCAGGGCACAACGAAGGGAATTTCTGGTGTCCTATACTACTGGCCCGTCCAGAACTCGATCTAATTTTCACAAACTTCCTTTCTCTTCACCCTTGTCCCGTTACCCTCGATGCGATCGACATTAACGTGAATTGTAACTATGCTCGCGTCTTATCGATTGTATTGGACCTTGGATGGCAGATGGAACGGTCAATTTCTGTATCATTGTTTGCGGCACGTGACTGGAAAACGAAGATTAGAAAAGCTCCGACGATGTTTTCAATATACTGAATTTGAAATGCTGTCAAGGAAATTGCATTCATAAAACGGAGGAAAAAATGGGCGATACGGTCTTAACAGTATTCCCTGCGCAATAAAACCAAAAGTCACCAACAGACCGATGGAAATAACATTCGAAAATCGCATGTTCCATTTGCTTCGTGCTTCGACTACTCTCGCGTCCAGAAAAACTGGAAACCCACTGGATCGACAAGAATGGTCTCGTAATAATACCGACGGACCCAATGGTCGAAAGCCTGGAAGAATGAAATCGTTCCGTCCCGTTTTTGCGTACGTCCTCTCGGTTCGAGAGATTCGCGATCCTGAAGGATTCCGCGGGTAATATGCAACGAACGGCACAAAAGTTGGTCCTGCTCGCCATTCGGTTTCTTCTTCACGGACTACCTCGTCCACTCGTTGGTCCGTAAAATTGAGGGGTAAGATTATTTCTTTCTCATCCCCCTTCTTTTATGTCTGCTCTCTTCCTCTCATTTTAGTTTGACGAGACGAGGCGAGTTCAAATGAAATTGCTTCATATAAAAACTGTTTTTTTTTAATTGAAAATGTAAAAGGTTGCAAATAAAGAAATATAATCATGTTGAAAAAGCTAGACTGTTATTTTCCCTTCACTGAAAGATGGAGCTCTACTCATAGGACTAATAAGAAAGCGAAGGGTGGAGCATCTACTATGGTGCCCTTATGGGAACTCTCGATAGAGGAACATCTTTCTTTCCACCCTAAAGCAACTATTTCACTTTTAGATCCATGTACTTCGTTCTGTTCCTAGAATGAAACTATCTAGGGGATGTATCTACAACGAAACAGAGGGTTTTACGCGTTTTCTGAAAAAACGATCCGGCAGATAAGTTTCTTCGGTACTTTGGATGTGAAAATTATAGGGTAATAACGTGGGAGAAAGCAAGGAAGGAGTCTGTCGTTAAACTAGTACTTTGAAATTAAAACGTTACGATGCAGGGGCGCGCGTTGCGTTAAAAAGCGATTCGCGGCGCACAATGTAACTAAAGTTATCGCGATCGTGCCTCGGAAGAGGATAAATGCAAAAGGGTTATAATCTCAAAGGGGTTTAGGATCGTAGTAAATTTTTCAGCTGACATTAACGCACGTGTCGCGTGCCACGTTGGAACGTGGCGTAATAAAACCGTCGACCAGTCGAACGGAACGTTTTTTCTCTAAAAACGAAGTTGCATTAACGGACCGACTCGTAAACTGCTGCCAAGTTTTTTGCGTATCTCGTACGCTTTTTTAACAGTCGAGTTTGATTTATGTTCACCGTCGTCGAAGTTGTCCACGAGTCCCCGAAACCGTTCGGCGGCCCTTTTTCAAAAGTAAAGACAGGGTGAATTTCGTAGGAAAAACACACGGTTTCACTCGTACAAGTTTCCCGTTGATTTCGCTCGGAAACTCCGCGCGTGTGGCAGCAGCTCTTTCCGCTTTCCTGGAACGCGCTAACTAATTAAGAAGTGGTGCAATTAATTTTCCAGCTTATTAAATAATTAACTCGTATCTCGAGGTCTGTCTCGCCCGTAGAAATTCATCCCCCCGTTCGTTCCTCTCTTTCTAAGGGGGTTGCTCGCTGAGCAAAAGCTCCTTCGACCGACACACCCTTCGAGTTCGGCTTTTCTACCGGGGAACTCGATAATCCCGGCTCCGGTAATTATTTAAAGTTTTCGACGGGTCAGATCCCGCCAACGGAGACCGAGCAGAAACGAAATGCCGTCTTTGCGGTAATTTACTTTTGTTTCTTTCGATCCCTCGTCCTACTTTTAGTTACCCTTTGCTTCTGCGCCATTACGCATCGATGTCGATTCGTTTCCGTGTTTGAACGAACATTAATTCTGTGCTTTGTGTTCGAGATGAGGTCGCAAAACAGGAAAATTAACTTCCACGGTTACTTTCACGTATTCTCTTTCGGTATGTGAAGAAGAATGCGCGAGGAACGTTTCTGGAACGTAACTCCGAGAAAAAGTAGGATCGAGGGTGGTGGTTTTTAAGCGGTCGCGTGCATTTCAATGGCGCCACCAAGAGAAATGTTTTCCAGAATATTTTTCCAGCAAGCTTCTCCGTCTGGCGAAGAGGAAGCAAAGCAGGCTCGCAATAATTCTCGCGACTCGCGCCACGGTTATTGTTTTATGTTTCTCCGGTGGTTTGCACGAGAAGCCGATAAGAAGGGAGATAAAGACGAGCACGGAGAATAATGGAAGAAACGTCGTAGCCGTGGCATTGCTGCACAGCAACGATGGCTTTTAGTGGATGCATAAAACGGCCAGAACGAAAATGCATTGCCTTTTGTCTGTTTCTCTATCATATTTATTTTGAACAATTCGATGGTAAATTAGGGAAGATGGTATAAAAATTGTTATCCACTTGATTGCGACTGTAAGAGGATACCTTTTACAGAATATTGAAATGGATTTGTCGGCTCATCGATCCGTTGATAAGTTGTTTTATCTCCGCAAAGTTCCCTTCTTCCCTTAGCAGCAGTCTTGGCGACCGAATCGTCTTCCAGAAACAGTAACTTTCACGAGGGGATCTACAGTACGGTAGGCAATTAAAGAAAACCGTCGTCTTACGTAGCGGCTGGTTTCCGAGCAAATGGTAGTAAGCAATGGTCCATGGTCGGCCTTGAAAAGGGGAAGAAGAGAAATTGCAGGTCATTCCGTTAACGACAGCTTTCTTCACTTCGTCACTCGCAAGTTTAATAGCTGAAGACTTTGCCAAGTAAATTATTTAACTTTACTCCAATTTTTCAATTTTATGTAAGAGTTGAATCAAATGTTTATATACATATAACAAGAGCATAAGGAGAATGAAATTTATGATTTTATCCCTCCTTATGGAGCACAACTTACCCTCTCCAGTTGGAACTACATTTTGCTGGAGTTTAGTTCCCTTTTCCGCCGCTAGAGGGCGCTGTTTTTCGAGAAAAATCTAATTTCACTTTTGTCCGCCAGAGGGCGCTAAATTTATTCGTACTTTAGTTCCCTTTCTCGCCGCTAGAGGGCGCTGTTTTGTCGAGAAAAATTTAGTTCCAATTTTGTCCACCAGGTGGCGCTAAATTTATTCGTGCTTTAGTTCCTTTTCCCGCCCCTAGAGGGCGCTATTTTTTTGGAGAAAACTTTAGTTCTAATTTTGTCCACCAGGGGGCGCTAAATTTATTCGTACTTTAGTTCCTTTTCCCGCCCCTAGAGGGCGCTGTTTTTTTCGAGAAAACTTTAGTTCCAATTTTAAAGAAACTGTTTTATTCGGAAGAAATTAAGTACTTCTTTGTGGGAGGAGATTATGGGAAATTAAGTTCTGGATTGTGAAGGAAAATGTAAGGTAATTATGTACTTAATTGTGAAGGAAAATTTAGGGAAATTAGGTATTTAATTAAGAAGAGAGACTAGGAAATTAAGCATTTAATTAAGATGAGAAATTTAATGTAACATAAGTATATATTTAAAAGAGGAACTTAATTGCATTAAATAAATAACTTAGAAAGGAAATTTAGTAATTAAATAAAACTTGCTTCTTAAAATGATTTATTTACCAAACACATGAAATGAATACATAATACAGAATACATACATTAGTCAAACAATTATTTCAGTAATTTTCAATTTTGTTGAAAAAGAATTGAAGGAACTTGGAATTAAAAGCGTTCGAGCAATTCATTTCCAAGACATAAATAAAATGAACGATTAAATGAGCATTCCTCTGTTTATTAAAGTGAAAAGTGATTTATAGGAAACTTTTTCTGTTCTCTCTGTCTATTTTCCAGTCCTGGTTTCACTGCAGCAACGGAAAAATTACGCAAAACGTGGCTCCCAACGGATCCTCGAGTTATAGCCAAGACGGAGCCGAATTTCACGAAGGAGGACGAATATTCACGGTCGCTTATTACGAGCTTTGCCCTTCCTCCAGGATCTCGACGACCTATGAGCTACCTGGAAGCAACCCTTCACCTTGCACACCTCTTTCCCTCGAGACTATCCAAGACCCGGTGGTCTTCGCGGCTCGCACTTATTTCGGCGAACGTACGACTCGCGTAAAGCACGTCTGCCGCCGCTACCAGCGCTGACTGTTTCTACTTTAATACGAGCTACGAGCTGGCTTCGTTAACCCTTAGATTACTACTGCCACTGTCCCAGCTAAGAGTCCTCGTGAAACTTCAAGACGTTCCACGTAAATTACAAAAAATTCTACCAAATAAAAGTTGTATTACGTCGAAACCTGTGTAATTTTCGTAAATTAGAATTCTTTTATTAGCATTTGTAATTATAATTCCAATTTACCTAAATTTCTCTGCATTTTTAAATGAAAATTCTATACGGTTAATTTCCTCCCGTTTCTCCTCGTTTCCGCTTTACAGCGAGCCGTCGCTCGCTTCCAGTATCGTCTTACACGAACGTAAAAGGTCGTGGATACGCGCGAATGGAAATGCCAATGGCCGTTGGATCGTCGCCGAGCAAATTATAGGGAAATTCTATCCAACGCTCGACGAGATGCTATCGATCCCCTCGGAAGCGAGTTTTACCGCTTCCGGTGTATCAGATCCGTCGCTGATACCGCGAACGATGATTATCCTCGAGAGAAAAAAATAATGACGCGGAAGATCGAGGCATTGCTTCTATTTATTTTCTACCTCTTCAACTTTGAACGTTTCATCATTCGGATATTTTCCGAGTCCCCGCAAATGGTCCGTCGCCGACGCTGAACCTTCGAAATGCCGTTTCCCCGCTAGAACTACGAAATGGTAACCATTTCGTATACTCTACGAGGCATTTGGGAAAACAGTCTCGTAACGCGCGTATCCCCGGTCATTCGAAAAAGGCGGAAACAGATTTTTTTTACTGCCCCCCAACTGGTTCACCCTCGAGGGACGAGATTGTCCGTGGGCGTCGGCCAATGATGGTATTCGAAACGCGTCGAAAAACGATTTATCCGACGTACAGCGACGCGTTGCACGACCCCGCGAGCATACACGGCCCACGAATACGACACGGATCCCAGCCGTGCATCTGGCAAAAGACGCATCCATTATGCCTCTATATTCCGTCCAGTCCTTCTCGCGGAAGATCGTCTTTTTATTTCCTCGACGTTCCACGCGAACCTTCCATCCTCGCGAACCACCGTCGCACGGCACAGATGCCGACAATATTACTTTCTCTGCTCCCTTTTATGGATATTGCCACGCCTATGTGTCGCATTAATACACCCATGCCAGCGTGGGTGTAGCACTATTTTGCGTTCGTTAGTTACTTCCGCTTTAGCTTCCTAACAAAGTTCAGCCTTAAATCTTTCGCAGTCTAAAATACTTCAATTGAAAATCGTTCGTAAGGTGCTTAGGTACTTACCTTTGTATTAATTAACAACCGAGCGTTCAAAACTGAATCGCTTTTAGATGCGTGGATAAAACGGCAAACGGTTCCGAAACGACTGCCTCCGAATCACGTTTCCACGAGAACGTTCAATCTATAGAAATCTCGTGCACCGTTTCCTAGAACGTTATAAACTCTCGTAAAGTGGAGGCAGACAAACGGGTGCTTTCGTGTAACGAGAATAAAGTATCAACGACGTCCTCGGGTCTGTTCCTTTACGACACTACAAGGGGGCGAGTTCTCGAAGTAGTAAAACGTTAATTGGCAATTTACAAAGGGGATTATCTAAACGCTGCGTTCGCAACGAACGACGAGTGTGTTCTTCTTCGCAACGTTGCACGAACGAACGGGAACGTACTTCTGCCAGAAATTCACGCAACGAATGATATTTAGATTCCAACGATTAGAAAACGAGTTACTGAAACTTTAATAACGCGTATGTGTCGATTTTCATCCATACCCGTAACAAGATCAAGGATTCGATGGTCCTTTGGTAGAAGAAAAGGGCGGAGATATTTTGATGCCCGTCGCAGCTCACAGTCGATAGACACGTAATAACGATCGTTGTCTCTATGATCTTTGCTCCGTCGTTTCGCCTCGAAAGCTCTTTCTAAGGCGTAGGCAATATGTCACCGGCCAGGATGTACATAAAATACGCTGGTTTACGAGCCGATCAGATGGCGCGTGTATTATTGCCAACTGTTCAAAAGCCCTTTTCCCCGTACAAAAGCAGGGTCAATAAAATTTTGTTCCCTTGAGAGACTCGAGGCTCCTTCGTCACTGCTTAATCTTCGATCGAGTAATTCTCTTCGTTTTATTTTCTTTTTAACCCTGGGACGATTGAAAATGAAAAAGTGTGTAAAATTAAATATAAATTGTGACCGTCTCGGTCGTTCGCTACCTGGGGATTAATTCCCTAATCTCGCTTACTCTGGATTTTCAAATGGAGCAAATTTATGGACGATTTATCATACGGCAAGTTAAGAAAGGGAGCGTGATACATTGATACGAGTATGAGGTTCACAAGGCGAAGTTTTTCCGCGAGAACCAGGAGCTTTCCATAGGAATCCGTGTCGGCTGGAAAAGAGTACAAGGCGAGCCGGGGATATATCTACGGCTAGACGGGATTGTAACGCTGCTTTTACGCTGATCACTATTTACAGCTATGTTTCGCATTACGTTGATTATTCGCGCACTGACCATTGCACTGTATTCGCGACGCTCGACGATACTTCGTGATAACGCGTCGTGATATCTTAGCGTCGCGTATCTTTTGACGTTTTATCGTCGTCGTAATTCAGCCCGAGAAGACATTCCGTGGATATTCCGAGGGTAGGCGGGGCCGATTTACGTTCCTTGCTACGGGCTACCTGCATCACCGTCTCTTTCTCTCGATGGATATTATTTTTCCGCCCAAGTAATAAAATCGTACGACTCGGTCGGTGTTCACCGATAACGCATTGCATTTAGTTAAGAGACAATAAGAAATAAATCAGATCGATCTGATATTAAGAACAATCATGGATATTCGTGAAAGCGTAATTTTTTTAAAGGGTATCAGCCGTGATTACAACGAGGAACACGCGTAATTTGATTTGCGGTGGTTCTTTGTTCTTAGATTCCGAGCAGTCACCTGCTGTGTATTTGAGGGACGATCCGCTGTTCGGCAGCCTGCAACTGCAACAGCACAGCGAGCTCCGTGCACCGACTGCGGAACGTGCCGCATTTTATTTGGACGCGGCGGTCGCCGGTCGACAACGGGACGACGGCGACGCGCACATGCTCTACACCCTTCACGTGTACCAGTACAGCGTCGCCGGCAAAGGAGGAGGTGAGTTCGGTCTCCTTTTCGAACGTATTTCTTCTTCACAGTCGCAGCTCGTAAAGAACGTTTGTCATCGGCTTCGACTTCGACGAGATTCAGAAGCATTCGCAGACGACTTTATTTGTATTCCATAGAGAATTCGATTGACATTTCTAATTCGAAACGGATCCCCCGTGTCGTGTATAAATTTCACAAGCACACTGCTACGAGGATCCGAGTAATTAAGAACAAGCTTTGCTAATCAATTTCCAAAGAATATCAGCCACGATTCACGACTTGTTCAATTATCCAGTTGCCGGCGGCAGAAGCCGACTGCACCTAATGGACCTCGGTAATTCGGATCGCGGCAAGTCGTCGGGAGGGATCCCCCTATCCGGCCTAGGCAATATCCTGCTGGCGATCTTCAACGGGCAGAAGCATCTGCCGTACAAGGAGCACAAGCTAACCCAATTACTGAAGGAGTGTCTCGGCTCGTTGACGTGTCACGCGGCGATGATCGCCCACGTGTCGCCGAACGCGCAACACTACACCGAGACGTTAACCACCGTGCAACTGGCTTCCCGCATTCACCGAATGAGGCGGAGAAAGATCAAGTTCGTGGGAGGTGGTACGCAGGGAACAGGGAGCGGCGGAAGTTCCGGGGAGGAAGCGGCCAGACAGAACAGCGAGTGCGACCCGAGTTCCAGCGATTTGTCCGCGGACACGGTGATCTACGTTGGACCGAGCACCGACGACGCGACCGATGGCGAACATCCTCCTGTCTACATACCGAGCTTAAACTCGGGTGATAATCGTTGCGCCATGGGCAGAGTGTTGCGCGGTTCCACGGCGGAGAGACCTTGCAAGATCCCCGAAGAGCGTAGTCCGGTCCATAAGTCGACGAAGGCGGTGAAGACGTTGACTCAGACCGCCTCGAAGCAGACGTCTCCTGCTCACACAGCTACACCGAAGGCTAGCCCAGCCAGGAAGGGCCTGTCGAACAAGGTCTCCTCTTCGAAGGTGAACGACTCCCCTGGGAGCAAGATTCCGGTCGCAGCACCCAGCGGAGGCTCGGACGAACAATGGATAGATGGTCCCAGGATCTCCAAGTCGAAGGTCGCTGAAGCTAGACACATGCTGAAGGATCCTCACCACAAGAGGGAGACCTGGATCGACGGACCTATGCAGTTGACCGGTCCGCCTACCTTGCAACTTCACACACAGCAACATTCCTCCAGCTACGGGTTTATGGACAGCCACAAGAAGAGCATGATTAGAAAGTGGGTCGAGAACCAATCGTCTCAGATACAGAGAAGCAAGCACGCCTCGGCTAGAACGGAAACCTCCAAGATGTCTGGCCAGTCGTCGCAGTTCAAGGAGCTGACCACGTTCAAGACGTGCACCGGTATCGACGACGATGACACCTCTTTGTCGACGGTGGAGAGCGATAGTTTGAAGGCTAACGAGATCGAGGACATCACCGAGAAATTGGGCGCCAAGCTGAATCTTCTGAACGTCAAGTCTAATACGGACTCTGGCTTGGATCTGACCGCCAGCCCGGTTATGGACGACAGCTTGGATAAAGGAAAGCTGGATCTTCAGGAGGACGAAGACGACGACGAAGAGATTGTCGTACCACCACCGCTACCTCTCATTGAACCCCTAAGCAATGGGGTCAGCAGGGAGGTCTCTATGGAGAGCCTGAACCTATCGCACAAGGACATCGTGTTACCTTCCAGACACTCCTTGTCTTCCGAGGACGAGATCCTAGAAATCGTCGAGGTCGAGGATTTGGAACCCGTTCCGATGCAGGATTCTTGCCTGCAGGTGACGGAGGAGGACATTGCCTTGTGCATGGGAGAGAATCCTTTACCCGAAAGCGACCAGGAGGAACATCCTCTGAGAATCCTGAGCCAGGAAAATCTCACAGTCGTGTCAACCTTTACTGGTAAGCAATCATACCGTTTTTCAACGATTCCTCGTTTTTTCCAATGATTTTTACGGACGCGATCGAGCTGTCTTCCTCTTCTCCTTTTCACTGGAGGGGTACTCGAAGGAATGCCTTCGAAGATTGCTCTCCTCGATTCTTAGATCCCGGGTTATTACCTCGATCCGGTGGAAAACAATCGTATTGTAGAAGGGAAAACGGTGCAGGGATTGTAACCAGACAGCGAGAGAGGTAAAGAGGGAAAACGGCTCGATATAATTACTCGTCAATATTCTCAAGTCTTTGGAACGACGTTTTTTCTGCCGAACGCGTTTCTCCTTTTCCTTCCCTCCTTCGTATCGATGAACGATAAGAAGAAGTACCCTGAGTACTGGGCGAGATAAAAAAAAAGAGTACCTCGATTTTCAGACTCGATGTCGGTGATGTCGGACACGGAACGATACAGACCTCAGTATCCACCCCCGGTTGGAGCGGGTGTTTTACCAAGGCCGTACTTCGATCACGAGGATTTCCTGGAACAGGAAACCAGGCACAAGTTCGACCAGTTGGCCCGGCTCCATGAGCTTTATCAGAGCAAGCTCGCGTTAGCGAATGTCTCGAATTCCGTGACCTACCAGAGGGAGAACTCCTCGAACGTGAACGTTAGAGACACTCCATGTAAGTTTTCATCCCTTTTAGTTGCTGTTTCCATGAACCCTCATTCAGAAACAGCTCTCATTGTGTCGTTAGCCTTCTCGTTACACTTCGACCTGAAAATTCATTATTGAAAATTAATTTGAACCCTGAACCAAGTATGACATTAACGCAGGACAAATTGCAGCCGCCCCAGTCTTCCGTCCACCGTCGCGCTGTCAGTCCTTGTCTCTCTCGGACGTGATGTTCAACGACAACGCGAGCAATCACGGCAGCATCTACAGCGAGCCAGCGTACATCGCTGGCAAGTCTGACCAAGAGAAGATCTGCGATAATTGTCGTCAGAGTATGTCGAGACCAGCCACCGCCTCCTACTGGTACCCTAACAGTGTGGCGCACATAGCCAGTCCTAGAAGATACTGTGGCAAGTTGGGCGAATGCAATATCTCTAGTCTGAGGCATCCTGATGGCGCATCGAATCCAAATCTCAAGGAGGAGGTGGAGAGGTTACCTGGGAACGGGGCTTCCGGTTCTGATCCTGAGGAAGAGTACGTCGAGGCAAAGAAACTGTTCACGGCTGTGGAGAGGTCCGAGAGAACGGTCACTGGCAAATCGGACATTGAGGAAGATATTAAGGTTCAAGGTAGGACTTGACGTCTAGCGTATATATGGAAGAATTAAACTGTAACATTTGGAGAAGGGTGATATTCCGAGTTTTACAATTGTTTAATCAAATGAATTTGTTGCAGCAACAGCGCCACCGCAACTGTCCATTCCATCACCGGCTCCGTCTTCGGGTCGACTGCAACGCAAGATCACCAGCGTTGGATCCTCGTTAGGTTTGAACAAAGAAGGCTACGACTCCGGTGCCGATTCGACGCCACGGGCAGCGAAACTTTCGCCGGCCACCTTGTCCAGGCATCGAGCCGAAAGTTCTGGTTACGACAGCATCGTCAGAGACAGCGAGACCAGTAGTATCGCCAGCGACTCGTCCAGGCAGACTGGAGCTCTGCAAGAGCACCAAGGTAGTCGATATTTATCTGTTATTGAATGTTACCTCTGTTTAAGTGTCCACCGAGTCGCGAAATCACTCGACGAAATTTTCTTCCTTCTGCAATTTATGTGCACTTAAACTTAAATCGTAATATCGCTCGAAAACTTTCGTCGATTCGTCTACTCGTAACGAGAAGCAAGGGTAGAGTCATAATTCAAGGAGACGGTTTAATTAATGTGAATGTTCATTGAACGTTCCACTTTTCAAACTTCTCACTTGGTAACTTTGATCTACGATGCATGCTGATGATGCTTCAAAGTTGTTGGCACGTTTCTGAAGAGCAAACTTGCACAGACTGTAGTAAACGTACCTCGCTTACGAATGTTAAAAAGAAGGAAGAAGGTTCTACTTGTTCCTGGAAACGAATGCATGCCTAGCGAGACGTAGTTTAAAAATCGTTGCAAGAAAGTTTTGTCAGAGACATCCTCCCCGATGAAACGAGATAACAACCCTCTAAAATGCTCCCTCCGTACGGTGGTTCTCCTCAGGTGGCGCACTGGGGGTTCTAACCTCGACGTTGTGCGGCTGTTTCAGCGGTGGAACAGCGAGTGGCAGGGTGCGGGCATCCGTCACGGGCCCAATGCCAGGCCCATCTGCCACGGATGCGATCCGCGGCGGTGCCGGGGATAATCGCGTACACAAGCGAGGACGTGGACATCCTGGACAGGCGCGCGCAGTTGCGCTCGGATCCACGTGGCACGATGTCCAGGATACACAACCTGCGACTACGGCAGCTCCATCTTAGGCTAGAGCTACGCGACGCTAAAAGGCGCCTCATGGTGCCCGACAGCCGCTGGAGCTACGATCGTGAGTTACCGTTTCGACTCTCACCACCGTCCAGAAGAGAGTACTCTTTGTCAATGATAAATCTCACGATAGATAAAGCAACATTTAATTAGTATAATGTACCAAACGTTCCAACGATAACTAAGAAAACGTCCGAGAAAGTTTCACCTTGGAATTACATTTGCTATCAGATCCCGAGTGTCCTTAAATGCAAGGATACTTTATAAAGAAGATACGCAATTACTGAGTTAAGTTTTATAATTGCAGTTCACGTAGAGAACAGCATGGACTGGCGAGATCCGTCGTTCTTGGAGGCCCTCGAGGCAGAAACGTGTATCCTGCAGAAACGGGTGGAGGCCTGCAAGAGTCACGTTCTGCTGATCACCTGTTTCGACTCTTATCCTCGACAACCGTGTACACCGCAGGCCGAATCGTCGACCGTGCTACGGATCACCTAACCGAGACTCGGATCAGCGCGCTGGACCGCGTGCTGATCGCAACAGGATCGCCAGCAGACGATTAGAAAGGAAAAGGAAACGAAACGAAACGAAAACGAGACGAGCGAAGTCGCTGATGAGGAGTAAAGAAAAGGGGAATCGTTGTCACGATGTCGCTCGACTCCGTCCAATAGTTGTTAAATGACGTTTAGCCGTGTCGTGATCGTCGTCGTACGTCGTCGCTATTGTTACGCGCGTATAATAGACGATAGAGAAATAAAAATAAGAAAAGAGAAGCTTTCATCCCTTTCGTTTCGCGTCGACCAGCCGGGGGATGCTGTTTTTCTTGCGTAGCAACGCGACACGATTCGACGACACGTATCGTCGGATATGGATACTTGTTGACTTGATATAATTTAGCGTACGTGTGTTGGTGCTGCATCATTTTCTTTTTTTATATCGATCGGAATCATCTCTTTAGATAAATCAATCGAGTCAAGCTGGGACGGCGAAATCGCGGGAGACACAACTTTTTGGTACCGAAGTCTGCTTGACGATCTTTCGAAACGATGATTGATCTTTCATCGACCGATTTAGAAGCAAAATTTAATCGAATTCGAGACGGCATTTCGTCGCGGTAAAAATAATTCTGACGCGATGCATGCAAAGAAGAGAGCGAAAAGCGACGATGATACGCGTCGTAACCATTGTATTTAATGCACGCACGTTAATTCAAGATATTATCGTAGCTTTAATCGTTATCAACAGTTACCGCACTTCGTAGGGCTCTGTAATTCACTTAGAAGATGACGAGAAGCTGAATGGGTGAATGAGAGAGCGAGAGAGAATGGGAGAACGAAAGGGACGATAACGAGCGCGAAAATGAGAAACGAGAAGATGCCGCGAGAGTTACCTTTCGACAGTAAACGTATTCGTAATCGTAACGGTTGCTCGGTTAGCGAGTGCTGTCTGAAAAAAATTAATATTGAAGACGCGAGAATTGAACAGCGTTTCATTATTCCGTGGCACGGATCTGAATGGGACAGAGAAAGATTTATCGAAACGAAAGGAATCCGCGTGTCGGTGAGACGTGGGTGTACAGAATGTGGCAGGGGGAAAGGTGCCAGAGAGAATGAAAATAGACGGGATGAAAATAAATCGAGAATGGCGGTAATACGCGGCAGAAACAGAGAAATTCCAGCTTTCTGATACGATTCGGAGTCAGTCGAGCAACGGTATTGATAAAAATCATCCATTTCTCTGTTACCGCTGCTGCGAACGACAGCTTTCATTCTCACAATTAAACTTTTAAGTCTTTCAAGGCTTTGCGATGTCTAATGTCGAAGAAACATTCCTCATCTCGTAGTCTCAAAGTTAAACTGCCAGTCCAATCGAAGGACATTGACTAGCTCGAGTAGATCCATAGACATCTTCGAATCCGTCACACGTTCGGAACTCGATTGCTCTGCCTCGAACATTTTCCTACATTTCCCTAGCCAAGCGCACAAGGAGCAATCGCGTGCACGAATCAGCCTTATCTACCTGGACTCGAAGATTTCTATGGATCATACGTTTCGAGGATTCAGACTGATCGTTTTTCAGACGGAACGAGACTGCTAGCTGTTAGCAATCGCGCTTACCGAGCAACGTGGAATCGTCGATCACCGTTAGTTGAAAAGAATCCGAGTTCTCAAAGCTATCGGGATGACCGACTGTAATCCAAGTTCCCTGTATCGTTGTCCGTTGTTAAAGGAACCCGTTACGCTATTCGTCCGTGTTTTTAGATTGTTCTCCATCTATCACTGCCGAATACCATGTTCGTCGTCTCTCCTTTCTTTTCGCTTGATTTTTTAACCGAACTCCTGATCGTTCCAAAACGAGGTTCGATCTGTCGTAACGCATTCACGATTCCCTGTCATCCAATTCTTCCTTTTTGTTTTCCATTCGAGCTAGAAAGAGAGACACGTCGCCAAGAACGCGTCACTCCGTCTACGACTAGTAACGAATTAATAGCAACCGCCATAGTAATTAACGATTAAGAGTTAACCGACCTCCGTATCATTCCGCGAAACCGAGAAAGCGAGATAGACAGACACGCATATGTTACACACATACACACACACACACAAAACAGGAACACACATTGGAGGTACCGCACCACGCGTCTACTGTGTACCATAGTACTTGTACCATATTTATATTTTATATGTACAAATTAGTGATGTAATTTCTTGTAATAAAGATCAATTTACAACGTGCAACGGAAGGAGCTCGTTCGGAGCCGTTTTCTTCTCCCGAATTCCCCTTCGGAATTTCAAGCCTCTGGCAAAAAGGAGACGCTGGATGCATCGCAGAAATTCCTCAGACAATTTATTAGGAAGCATTTTTAGGTTCAGGCGAATGTTAGTCCAGCGATATCCGAGACAGCAGTTTTAACATCTTGAAAATTTTATTTTATTTCGAGAAATCTTTCCTCTTTGAAAATTCTTTCTTACGTGGATGATGGATTTCTATGGAAATTCAAGCGCAACTCGCATATGAGTTAACCGAGGGACTTGGGAGCAAACTGGCTCGGAAACTGCGGCGAACAATGCCTGCAGATACGCGGAAACGAGTCGAATGGAGAAGAGTACATAGGTAAGGAAGAACGTGGGTGTAATTAGACGAGGAAAGAACGGAGCGTGAAGCGGACTAATTAGGCGGAAGAGGAACAAAGATGTTCGCGGATCTGAATCTCGAGAGGCTTCGTACGATTCCTATTAACACTAGTGTATCATCAACTCGTTCTCCCCAATGACTCAAGATTAAATTCTATCGCTTCGAGTACTTTGAGCACATCGTATGACGGAAGAATAGAATTGATTGTAAAGATTAATCAGTGGATTAAGATCGAACAGACCAATAGCACGGTGAATCCTTCGTTTCGATGTGGGCACCGGATGGAAATTAGAGTAACCTTGAATTCCAATTGCACCGGTTACCGATAGATCGCGATTACTGCCGCAATGAAATGTTGAAAAACGTCCGCGGGAAAATTGCCGCTCGTCTGGCTCGATCTTCGCGGCCTTGGCAATAGAATGGATCGAAAGTGCAATTGATTCGATTATGCCGAAGACTCATTTGCGTTACGCGCAACAGATAACAGATAACTCCGCGGAAATAAAAATAGACGCGGCGTAACGTTCGTTGCACAAGCGTGTAGATGAAAGCTGAAAGACACCGGGGAACGATGGGAAATGGAAAAATGCGAAAACGCGTGAAATAGTCTGGTGTACCCTCGCGAGGGATATGTGCGAGTTAAAATTGTAGGATGACAGGGTGGGGAGCAAAGAGTCGCGGCACGAAATTATCGGCTGTTACGGGAGAGAGCTGCGACGAGAGGAGACGAGACGAGACGAGACGAGTCGGCGTTTCGTGCGTTCGAAAGAAGAGCGGCCGAGAGGAGCAAAACGGGCAAAAGCGATTAGGGGGCGGCAAGAGAAGACGTGGTGGTAGCCGCGTCGATCGACAGTAGCGTGAAGTCAGTCCGAGAGAATGACTCGTCGCGCGCGTTTCAACGTCTCGTGGTTGGCCGTGGTGCTGGCCCTGATCGTGCCCTTCGCCGCGGCCCTTTCAAAGCATGATCTTTATCCGTACTCGACACCGGGATCCACGATCCTGCAGACGGATGCGAACGGATTGCTCCTGTCCGGGGAAGCGATCCTGAAAACTCCGATCGCGTTCTACGACAAGATCTACAACTCCATATTCGTGAGTAGAATTATACCTCCTATGAAAATATTTCATAAAAACATAACAAAACAAAATTATCATTTAAGACGGTCGCTGCATCGTGTGATATTTGTTAAATAAAAAATACAACATAGCCAGGTGCGGACACAAGGGTCGATCAATTCATGGAGCAGATATTTGACTTTCCAAACTCTATCGCATGTGTATAGACGAAGGAAAGTTTCGCGTCGAGGATAATTATAATTTATCGCAAGATAGAACGCGTGGAAATAACGTAATGCCGAACGCGGTTCTATTTTAAAGCGCGACGGAAAGCGACGCGATTCAATGGAAAAATTATTTTTATCCGCGCCGTCCACGAATTTCCCATCGGACAGCGTGGCCACTCGCATCCGGCACCGTTTTAATTTCGTTGCTGACAAAAATACAGGGCAAAACCGGGCGACGGGAACACGGCTGCTGGAAGAGGTGCGTTTCGGGGTTTGAACGTTACCGCCGCGTCTTGTAACCCTTCCAGCGCGAGCGCGAAACTGTGTAAACACCGTGCACGGGTGTCGCTGAACAGGGGATGTTCTTTGCCTGGTCGCGACGGGAAAATTGTTTATTTGAAGATTTAAAATTAAAACCAGTCGAAACTGTGCCCTCTCTTCATCGTTTGCTGGTAACGTAAACCGTTGCGTTTCGTGCTCCTTGCTTTTGAACCGCGATGAGATTGAAATAGCCGAGCTAGCCAACTAGGAGCACGTTGGCGTGGTAATTCGTTCGTTAATGCTTACATTGAACGAAGAAAAACCGGGAACATTCGGTCATCCCCTTAATTCGGCTCGTGTGGTCTAATCCGTCGTCATCTTCTGGCGTGACACGAATTCATTGTACGCGACGATGGCGGAGAACAGCCGGGGCAATCGCTTAATTGCGCTTGGGTCGTCGCACGAGCTGATTCTCGCGTACCGTCTCGCGGATACGCGTCCGGACGTGTACGCTGGCCCCTTCAATGAGCTCTACCGATCAGCAGAGGCCAGAAACACGCGATAACTCGCCGCGAATCGAGGAATGTTCTCTACGAAAAGCTCGAAAGAGGCAGAACGGGCGATTTCAGAGAAGCGAAAACGGCCACAAAACTCACAAGACGGAGAAGGTTCGAGGAAAAGTCAGGAGAGATAAGATTTCTCCGATTTATCAGAGGCGGGTTTTGAAATTTTTCGGAAAACGGTAGGCAAAGATTACCCGCGAAAAGGTATTGACTCATGGTAGGCAAACACGATCAGATTAGAATAGTCCTACCGTTTGATCCTGCGATGATCTCACTTTTCCATGAACCGATTCACAGCGACGAGTATATGCAGCGTGAATGAACGTTGATTGTGCGGCTGCTTCTTACCGCGTATCTGTAGGAATCTTCGTTCTAATTGGTCCTAGCCAGCCAAGGTGCATGATCTCATGACGGCGTCATGTTTTCGTCGTACAACGTGCAAAAACACAATTATGCCCCGTGACGGTAAAACGATTAGAAACGCTTGGATATCTATTGCGTTTCCACTATCGTTTAACGTTTCGCATTTTTCCCCTGTTCTTCTATTCATAAACTCGACCCCATGTTTACGAAACAGGGTTCAAGAGCTGGAGACTTTGTAGCAGATAAGTTGCTGCATGATTTCATTCCGTTGTAGAAACGTGCTCGAGCACGTGCATCGTTCGGGGCTCGTATAGTTTCATTCATGAACGCGGTCGACGATACGTTCACCGTGCCAAAAACGTCGATGGTTTATCGATGAGTCGCGTGCGTTTCGGCGCGTCGGTCGAATCGATGTTATCGGAAACGAGCGCAACGACTCGATAGGCCGGAAGAAAAGATAAAGCGAGTCAATGGCGGATAATCGCTCGGAAGTTTTCTTTCATGATTTTTCGTAACCCGAGTGTCGATAAAAAAGAAAATAATTTAGGCTTCATAAATTAATTACTCAAAATTATCTCTTCGCATGAAAAACAATAAAACGTATTAGTATCTGATTCCCAAATGGAAGTTTCCCGTAGCACGGCATCGCACGGTTAATTAAGCTCGGTCGAGCATCAGATAAATATTTAATTAGCAGTTACGCAAGGACGCGCGACTCGCGGCAGATGAGCGAGACAAACTCGTGGAAACAGCGCGAAAATTTCACAACAACAATGTATTACGCGTTGCTAATTAGCCAGATAAGCACATACGTAAGCGTGATCCGATTCATCGGATGGAAAGAAGAAGCCGCTGCAATTAGCTCGACGCGTAACCGTGTTGCTCGCTTGTTCGCGGAAACTGAGCCGCGTCGAGGAAGCGGATAACCTGTTGGTTCCGCCTGCGTCGTTTTCAGCTACGATGGCTATCTCGCTAAACGAACGATATCGGAAACTGGCCGTCGCATTAGCATCAGGATGGACGTTGATGGACGATTTTCTCTGTAAACGCGGACGATTAGCCTTCGCCTTTTCCCACATTAATTAACGGCTGATTTGTAGCGAGAGAAGAAACGGCTGTTGCGAAATTCCGCTCGAGATTCTTCGTGATCGTAGCTGCGACGTCATCGTCGACGGAGGTCAATTAGCAGTTAATTAAATTACCTACGTTCATAACGAGTCCTTCGCTAAATTTCAATCACCTGGCTATTCTTTAATCCAGCCTGATAACGAAATATTTCTGAAATATAGAAAACACTTAGCCAACCCTCTTATAGAAAGCAAGTAGCGTTTAATTAATGTTCAATCAACGTATTAGAAATAATGGAGCCGTAGCAGACCTACGCGCGTTTGCAACACGCAGCTCGGTGTCTTTCTCGGCTGGCACGCGATGGAAATGTTACGCTACCGGTCATTTTCACGAGGATGCGGTGAAATGTGTAACAAGCGTCGGATGTTTGCTATGCAAAACCTCGACCACTTGTTCGGCGAATTGATTGACACAGATAAGCGACACGATACACACGTATTTCGAGACGATCTACTTAGAAACTCAACCTACACGACAATCATCTCCATTTCGTCGTTTATCGTGGACGATTCTCAGTCATCAAAATGATTGCGGACGATTACACGATTGCGTTAGCGCGTGCGGTCCGCCTTGTACACCTCGCGGCCAGAACGACGCGAGACGACGCCGGCAGCGTCGCAGTTATCACGGCTGACGGTCGAGGAAAATTCAATGAGGAACGAGCGTGGCCCGCGAATCTCGTTATCCATGCCAAAGTGTACCGCGGAACGATCGAGTTTTCAAGTTTAAACGAGCACAAAGTTGGTATTTAACGCAGTGGCGCGAGCTCGTTGTTTGCCCGACTAATTGAAGCTCTCGTCGCTTCGTGGTTTGCCAGGCGACCGCAATCTCCTTTCGTTTCTAATTTCTTTTGGAAATTCAAAGAGAATCGAATTAACTTCGTCTCCCTTTTGTCGAAAAGTAGTTTTTCACGGCTTCAAATAGAATCGCTTAAGAGACTCGAGGCTGTGCATTTGATATTTCTTATGTTTCATATTTTAGGTACGTTGCAAAATAACTACCGGTGTTTCACGTGTTCGGGAATAAATCGGTCGCGTTAGGAAAAGAGGAATCGGCGCGGCGGGCAAAATGGATTCCACGTATTACTTCGAGCCAGTCCCTATCTATTCTCACCGTTTTCTCTCGCGTTCACGATTACCACGGGGATTACGTGTGTGCGTGTGTGTCATCGGCTCAACTGTGACCTACGACCCGTGCGATAGCCTCGACGGAGATAGCGCGAGAGTCCAACTATTTCCCCGCTCCTCTCGATACTCGCCACTGTCAAAACGTTTCGTCGAGCACGGAAACACACGATCGATCACCATTCGTACGATCTCTATCCTTCTTCCCCTCGAAATCGGTTGTACTTGTATCGACGTATCAGTGATCCCGGTTTGCCGGCGCCCTGCTAATTATCACTTGAAAAATCGTCTAATCGGAAACGGCTAATCTGCCCCGATTGCTATCGATCCGACGTGGATTGAAAGTAGAGAAGAACGCGTCGCTCGATCGGAATAATTACAGCTACTCTTATTTGCCCTCTTTTTCTTTCCTCTGTTACTTAGAAATTTACATCGTCTGGTGCGAAATTGACCGCAACGACGAGATCGCTGACACTTGATAAATGATTCGATGCCAATTTTCCACCGCGATCGGCTGATGCGAAATTGTACTTCATAATAGACACCTAGGGGACGACGAGGAGACGAATCCAACGGCGAACTGGCAGAGTCACAAAGAGGATCATTACTACTTTGTCGGTCTAATTCGTGTCAATTCTCGTGACCCGGTAGCTCGTTGAACGATACGCGCGACTCGGGTGTTAAATTCGACGCGTCGCTCGTGGTATTAACATCACGTGAAAACAATACCAGCGAGGAACAATCAGCCTGAAGTTCGGCCGACATTAGCCGCTTTGAAACGGGATCGTGGGATCGACGGAAACCAGGCCGGAATTCAGTCGTCGCGTCGACTTGTAACATCCAGTTCCATTCCTCGTGTAGATCATGGTTCAAATCTGACAAACTATGAAATGAAATGGAATCTCTTCGTTTTCGATGAAGCTATAGAATAATTTTTATTCCGAACTGGTTAAATTCACCCTCGATATCGAATAACTTTCATCAACGTTATTTCACTCCAACGATTCATTTCCTTCGCTGTTTGCGATCCTTGCTCGAAGATTTCATTTTCAAGCATCCTCATAATCAAGGCTACGAACGATTCGCTAAAGAACTCTCGAAGAACGCGAAAGTGGATCCTACAAAGTCTTCGTTAACGCATCTTCAATTCCCTTTTCCAGTTCATCAAAAATATCAGGTTAAGTCTAGACAGCGGCGAGAATAATATGTTTCGTTGAAGTTTTAATCTTATTCCCCTAATTAACGAGGACGAAGTACGTTTCTTAGTAACCAAGGGGACAGATGTTCCCGTCACAAATATGGAGCAACGCGGTCGCCTTTCAGTTTAGCCAATTGACAAAACGACCGCGCGTCTGCTCGCGAGTTCAAGTTGTCTCGGGTTCGAGCTCTTTCTTCGGCTTGCGCCAACAACCGGGTGAATGACTCCTCGAGATGTACACAACAGCCCGCGAGACGTTTCTGTCGCGGCATGTGTTCGCGATTTACCTGTTGACTTACCCTTGCGCACGAAAGGGTTGCTCGAAAGTTTCAAGTTGAATTTAAACAAAGATTCGAGGAAACTTAAATTACAAGAGAATGCAGATATGCAAATTTCTGCCCTGAAGCTGAATCGCAAAAGCTGGTAAAATTTCGAAGATCCTCCAGCTAGAGGGGAGTGGAATTTAGATAAAGAGGGTCACAGAAACTTTATCTCTGGATTACAACGAACGAAGTTCTTAAGGACCGGTATTCTCCGTTCTCGTTCAAGTAACGAGGCTTTTAATTACAACGAGCCAGTCGAATTTTCTTCGAGCCTTTCTTTCCCTACTTCGTTTAATTTTGATGGGATCCTTACCTGGTTTCAGGTGAACGGAAATGGCGTACTGTCTTTCGCCAGGGCAATGCAGAGGTTTTTTAACATCCCTTTCCCGCTCGACGATCCGGTGATCGCGCCTCTCTACACCCACGTAGACACCAGAACATCCGGAAGGGTGTACTACGGCGAAACGGATGCGCCGGAAGTGCTCGCCAGGGCAGGTGCGATGATCCGTACCGCCTTCACGGACGCCGTTGATTTTGTGCCGACTCACGTGTTCCTCGCCACTTGGGTGGATGTGGGATACTATAATGGAAAAAGCGACAAGGTTAGACGAAGTTGAATAAAATTTTTCTATGGATAATCCTTCGTTTCTGACAATCTAAGGTTTTCTCTTAGGTGAACACGTATCAGGTAGCCATCTCTTCAAATGGCACGCATTCCTATGCCGAGCTGTTGTATCCGGAAAACGGTATACAATGGATTCAAGGTGAATCGCACCCTAGCGGTCTACCTGACGCAAAGGCTCAAGCAGGATTAATGAGCGAAGGAAGAATGTACACGCTGAAGGGTTCCGGGACGGATCAGATTCAGAATGTCGACAAGTGAGTCACGGAACGAGCGTTTACGAGCGATTAATCTTGTCTGCGAGCAACTTGCGCAACGACATCGTAACTTGTATTGTCTTCCAGGTGGTCGAACGTGAACAGACCGGGACAGTGGTTGTTCTACATCGGGCCAACCAGCGACGATGAGGATGTCAGGATTCCCGACAATATCGAAGGTAAAATTCTGAACAGCCAGGTTGTTAATGCATTTCAATCGATACTTAATTATTAATCGTACGATATTTTTGATTATTAATCAGACACCAGTACAACGAATCAGGTAGCCGATTGCAGAACAGGAGCGACGAGTTGTCACAGCAAAGCGACATGCGTGGACTACGAAGCTGGAGGTTTCTGTTGCCACTGCAAGCAAGGATATTTCGGCAACGGCAAATCTTGTCAACCGAACGGTAAGTCGAAATCATAAAAGGGCTGTGCCTCCCTTTGATCCAGCCACGGTTCGTAAAAATTCACTCTGAAACGAACCGTTTCGATCGTTTCTTTTTCCTGGTGTCGCGAAACAGACACCAGCTATCCGTCTGTATTTTCTCTGATCTATGAATAGATCAGAAGAAGCTTCTGCTCCTTCGACGGCATCGTAAAACTCGACCTCGTTCTGCTTAAACACGCGTTAAAATGTTTGTTAACGAGAATAGAAGGTACAGGGGGCTGTAAAAATTCGTAGATGTTCCACTTCGAGTGAACGGACGCGTTTCGGGGACCATCAACGACGTGGAATTTCCGGCAAGGGATCTTCAGTGCTACGTTCAAACGAAAGATGGAAGAACGTACACGGCTCTGTCGAGGGTACCCGAGGAAATTGGGGCGAGTTTCCAGCTACTTGGTAACCTTGGTGGAGTGATTGCTTGGTTGTTCGCGAAGCCAATTAGCGAGACGAAAAATGGATACGAGCTGACAGGTATTCTTCGCTAATTCTTGGTCCAACCTCGACGAAACATCATCGAATTCAATTTCCATTCGTAATTCGAGCAAACAATTGATACAGGGGGCTTGTTCAACCACACGGCGGAGTTGACGTTCAGCTCGACTGGCGACAAAGTGACGATACGAAGCAATTACCTTGGCCTGGACGTCTTTGGACAGCTGAAGATGGAGGCGGAGATCAAAGGTACTTTACCTCGGCTGACGAAGGACACCAAGGTCGATTATGGGGACTACGACGAACTTTATACGAGAGCCCAGCCCGGTGTAATCCGTGCACAGAGCGAGAGAAGTTGCAAACTGAACGACGCGGGCGAAGAAAGGGATCTAAGTTTCACGCAAGACCAGACGATGCTCTACAACGAGTGTCCTTACATCACCGTTGATCCTGAAGACGACACAATCCGATTGAAGTTCTTCAGAGGTGTCACTACTTACGAAGCTACCGAAGGAATTGTGCGTTTTGCGGTCAACTCGAAGGTAGCACCCTTGGAAGAAGAAGATCCTTGCATTCAAGGGAGGGAGACTTGCAGCGAGCACAGCTCTTGCGTTGTCGATGGAGATAGTTTCAAGTGTGTCTGTAATCCTGGGTAAGAGCCTTTTTCGTCATGGTATACCCTGTATCGTACATTCCCTCGAATTTCATCTTGACGGTTTATCGTTATCGAAACAGATATCAGTATCTATACGAAGAAAACGGAAGTGCAGTCTGCGTGGACGTGAACGAGTGCTCCGCTGGCAACCACATGTGCTCTCCGGATGCACAGTGCATCAATCAGGAAGGAAGTCACACGTGTCAGTGCCGACCTGGTTTCTCTGGTGATGGTCGAATTTGCGAGAGTAAGTTAGAACCAGCAGTTATCGTACTTTGGTAACCGTTTCCCAGGAAATCGATATAAGGAACTCTGCTTTACGCACTGCCAGTAACTCGTGTGTACCTTCTGTTGAAAATATAGGGCTACCCTCCTGCGAGGACATGCGTTGTGGAAATTACGAGCAATGCGTGATGAACGAAGGGGAGCTCAGCTGCGTTTGCCAAGAAGGCTTCGAAGACACCGAGGAAGGATGCCTCCCTGTGCAACGGGGTGAGAAAAATAATCGATATGAGGAATCGATCGATCAGGGAAGTTTGAACTGATGGTTATCCATGGATTTCTTACAGGTTCCTGCGACGTCGAGGATAACTGCTCGCCCAATGCTTTCTGCAATTTCGACGCTGATAAGCAGAAGCACGTCTGTGTCTGTTTACCGGAATTTGTTGGTAAGATACGAAAATTAAACAATTTCCCGAAAGTTCAATAATTTCATTGAACGTTCCTGAAAAACTGAGCCAACAGCTTAGCTGGACTAGGGGAATTAAACTTCTACTTAGACGTAGCACTTAACGTCGTTATAGGCGACCAATAAGTAACAAGTTTCGTAGTGCTCTACTACGTTTCCCTGTTACTCACGAAAGTTTCAAAGCGACCTCCTATGGAACACAAATTGCATTGCAACGAATCGGAGTGATCGATGCCGAGAGAATTCGTGGAACTAGGAAATTCCATGTTTTTGCGTGATCTTTCCGAATGAATCTCGTGATCAGTTTTCGTTTCAATGATCACAATCGATTCCAGGGGATGGTTACACGTGCAATCCGGACGGGGAATTAACCACAACGGACGAACCACCGAAACCGCAATGTGTGGGGGAGATGTGTTGGTGCCCGAGGGGCTGGGATTACAGAAATGAGGAATGCATGCGAAAGGAAGAAGAGACCAGGACCGCTGACTACGACCGGGACTGTGAGTACCAGAAACCAGACGTTCGACTTTTGATTTATTCAGCGAGTTCGACAATTTCTTTCGCCAAATCTTCTTTAAAGGCCTTAAGAACCTTAACTCGCACCAGAAAAAGATTTTTTAAAAGGTCCCGATTTGAAGCCTTAAATTAATCATGAACTTCGTTCCGTCCTCTTTCTTGGGTGAAAAGTTCAATCACTGCCGTCAAAGTGAAAATAATTAATCTTTCAAATGGGATAAAAATTGTTTAACTCTTGAAAAGATAAATATTATTAATTCATTAAAGGCATTTAACCGGTTGTACTTTGATACTGTTTTGAAAATCTCTAAGAGATCGATAGGAATGAAGACGATTGATATCGATATATAAAATATGATGCATGACTAATAGCACGTGGAACATGTATCGTTTATGTTTGAATATCATTAACTATGAAACGATTACGATTATCTCGCGTGAATTGCGATGATCACTAACAGCTAGCAACGAACGGTTTGCATCGTGCGTTCTAGTATCAGCTCGGCCAATCCCGGAATGCTACGAAGACTACTGCATATGCCCCTGGGGATTCGATTACAACCATTCCGAAGAGATTTGCACGCCTCGACCAGGATACAACCACGAAACGATGGGTCCATCAGGAGATCACTGTACGGAAAGCTCGCATCGCTTATGCTAATTTTGCTAGATTAACAATACGTATACAGCAAACGCTATGCTTCACACGATCATTAGTTTAATTACACTTAATCGATTCACACGTTTAATTACACTTAAATTTGATTCATCAAATATTTTCAATCAAATCAAATATCACGTGCAACCTGATTGGCATTGTAATCGCGCACGCTTTTGTCTAGTATCGTGCAACGTGGTGAACAGGTGTCATCCCTACGCCCAATGTGTCTACGTAATGAGCACCACCGACTACGAGTGCCGTTGCAACCCAGGTTACGAGGGTGATGGTATGGAGTGTATCAGAGCAGGTACGTCACAGTGCATCTTGTTCTTCCGTTCTTTTTTTTTTCGACTATCATATCCTGTCATCTATATACGCGTACGAGGAGTACCAAATAGCGTGATTGTTGCTCGATGACGAGTCAATGAAAACTGTTGTTCTGGCACAGAGGTGTCCTGTTTGGACGTGGACATCTGCGACCCGAACGCCTCCTGCCAAATCGAGGGATCCTCGGGCAAGTGCGTGTGCAACCCTGGATTCGAAGGAGACGGAACCACTTGCAGCCCCATCGGTCATATCATCTTTGCTATCCTATTTTTTTATTTCAATTTTTTATTGCACAGCTTTTAGACAAAATATTATAGGGAGAATATTCTAGATATTCTATTCGATTTGAATGATATTCATAGCATCTTGAATTTCTTAAACGGTCAACGAATATTCTCTCCATACAAGCTTTAAACACCACTGCCTGCGCCTACAGTATCATTCTGTCCGCTTTGATTCTATATCCGCGTACGAGCATGCCGTGACACGATGCAGCTGCATCGAAGAACTACCCTAAATGTGAAACCCCTCAATTCATTTGCGAGAATCTCGGTGTAACAATGATCCTTTGTAAACGGTGCAGACGAATGCAGCGGGAACACGGATTGCTCGGAGAACGAACGATGCTTGTACAATGCGGCCAGTTCGCGGTACGAGTGCACCTGCAATTCCGGCTTCAGCATGGTCGACGGACGTTGCGTGGTGTCCGATTGCTCGACGAATCCGTCACAGTGCCACGTGAACGCGCATTGCGTATCGGCCGGTGACGGAGGCTACAAGTGTGTTTGCAACGAGGGATACAACGGCGATGGTATCCAGCAGTGCTTGGAGGACCACATCGGTTGCAACGTGTTGAATAATTGCGGCAGAAACGCGGTCTGCGGATACAATCAGACGTCCGCGAATTTCGCGTGCATCTGTCAGCCGGTATGGATTATTATTGAACACCTCGGGTTTATATTCGAATTATGAGCTTCTGGTTTTCGTACGGGGCAACAGGATTATTGGTAAACCCGATAACAGTTTATGTATTTGTTTGAAACGCGATAGAGAAATGGTAATGACGCGTCTGGTAAATGTCACTGGGAGTAGAGTAGGACTCGTAATGGTCGGACGGCGTAACAGGGAAAGTTTAAATAACGAAATATTCGCATGCAACAGATGTCGAGGAACGATGGATCATCAGAGAAACGTAACGACAAGCAATTCTACTTTCAGGGCTATTACGGTGACGGATTCACGTGTTTGCCTCAGTTGTCCTGTAGACACGACTCGGCCCTTTGCTCGCCGGATGCGACCTGCGTGGCAGCTGGCAGCAATCAATTCGCTTGCGTATGCAACGAAGGTTACACCGGAGATGGGAGCAACTGTAAACCTCGACCGAAACACGAAGCAAACTTCCTGTTGGTGAACCAAGGAATGGCCACTCTGAGGATACCATTCGGTGCGATGCAGGAGAATCCTGGAAGTCCGATCTACATAGCGTACACGCAAATGGCGATCGCGATCGACATCGATTGTATCAACGGAAAGGCTTATTCGAGCGACATCACAGGTAATCGATAGATCCAAGGTAGAAACTTACAATCTCGAAATCGTGACGCAATTTTCTTGCGAGATTGCCTAGCTGCCAGTCTGGTGTGTCCGTCTAGACGAGATTTATACTTCCAGGCAATCGAATAATCGAGCTAACTTACAATGGATCTATGGCGGACACGTTTCTACCGAAAGTCAGCAGCCCCGAGGGACTGGCGGTCGATTGGGTCTCGAGAAATATTTTCTGGACCGATTCCGGCAAGACGACTGTCGAGGTAGCCAATCTCGAAACGAAGAAACGTAAGGTCCTCGTTTCCGATGGACTGGTCAACCCTAGAGGAATAGCCGTACACCCGTACCGTGGGTGAGTGCCTTTTCAATGGATTCCAACGATCTCTCCGTGGATATTAAAAACCAAGGAAAAATTGAATGAAACGTGGAACGAAAATTTCGTTGTTTCAGCAAGATATTCTGGTCCGACTGGAACCGCGCGTCACCGAAATTAGAATGGGCCAACGAGGACGGTACCGGTCGTGCAATCTTCCTTCAAGGAGATTACGTGAAATTACCGAATTCATTGAGTATCGATTGGGCGACGGATGAGCTGTGCTGGGCAGACGCCGGAACGTTTACGATAAGTAAATACAAATCTTCAATGAAATTTTTCTTGCCAATCGACGCGCCATTCGTAATTCGATAATTTCGCCTACTTTTCCTTTTCCGTTAATCGTTTTAGGCTGCATGGAGATCGACAGCAGGGATATTAACGTGGTCGCCAACGAGCTGACATATCCGTTCGGTCTCGCGATCTCTCACCAGAATTACTATTGGACCGACTGGAAGACGTAAGAATTCATTTTCAGAATAAAAATATAAAGCGTATTAAGTCTAGTATGCGAGTCTTAGACGAGTCGATCAATTCTGAAGAAGCTTAGCCGGAAAAATGGCACGCACGCGAACACGAAGATATTTAAATCATCTTTTATTTACCGTCCCAGGCACAAGATCGAAGTCGCCATGAAGAGCAGCGGGGACAGGAAGCCGGCCATATCGGTTCCACCGGGAGGAAGCGGTAAATTATATGGAATAGTCGTCGTTCCTGAGTCATGCCCGCGAGGTAAATCAAGTTTTACGTCAGCGTACGTTGTGTCCACCGTAAAATTGATCACCCCTTTAAAAGTACATAAAAGCGAGAGGAACATCGTAATTTGGTGTAACCTCGTATCGATGGCAGTTGGATTAATCGTTCCGTATTCGTAAATTGAACGTCGCCACTTGAGCTAACAAACTATGTATCGAAAATTAAGGACGTCGATGAATATGTCCTTCTTAACTCTTCAGGGTAAATGACTATGGATCTGTTTTATTTGTCTGTTGCCAGTGACCAACGTGTGTCAATACGAGAACGGAAGGTGTAACAAGGATCAACTGTGTCTACCGGATGGCCAAGGTGGCAGGACATGCGTGTGCGCGGACGATGCGACAGGACCTTGCACCGACACTCATTAGTCGTAGTTCGGTCGTCGTCAGGATTAAGGGGGAAATGACGAGACGAGTTTCGTGCTCGTGTCGATCGCGTGTAAATTATAATACTACTCTTTGTATAATTAGTTTATCGTCTACCGTTTTACGAGTAACACACCTTTTGTATCTAATACAAGGGCCGTGGCGTGAGAAGCTGGCTGTATTGTACCGCGGTCCCTTGACGCGTTATTTAATAAAAACTTAAGAAACAATATTTAATCATTCCCTTTTAATTAAAACTTTCGACGGTATGAAATTGTTCTCGTAAAGTGGCGGCATCCATGGACGTTAAGAGAAGCCTGTTCAAACCAACGAACGATCTCAATAAAGACATCGAGGAAGAAGAAGCAGAGCTTAATTTTCCGAACGATTAAAGGCATTAAACTGACAGTTTGTCAGCGTTGTTCATAAGGTAACGATAACGAAGTCAAAGGTTCAGCCTTACGTTGTTTAGTTCCGCGAGGAAATAAATTTTCTCCAAGAAAGGAGCTACAAAACAGCAGCCAATTACTGTGTTCATTACTGCGGTAACTGCCGCCCATTTCATTTTTCCCTCGTTCTATTACGTTAATAAGCAACTACTTAGATGTCTAATAAGAAAAACAGGGCAGAGAGACGGAGGTATAAAAATACAATTCCTCCTTGCTTACGATCAATCATCTTTTTTTTCACGACGATGATTAAAGAAGAAAGCGGTGGAAGACGAACGAGGTCGCGGTTGGACGATATTATCCGTGTCGAATCGCAAACGATTCTATCGGCGAAACGATCGACTTTTCTTAATGGCGTATGCTTTTGAACGCGTTGCATTTAATTGGTTGACCGCAAGGATCGACGAGAAGAGAGGAAGAAAACGGCGAAGAGCATTAAACTTTCGTTGCTGGTCATAGTGGTAAGAATCTAGAGGTGTCTCCAAGGAGTTGTTTTGCAATCAGGCCAGCAGGGTTAACGGTGAAATTCAACGATGAAAGGAAAAGAACGAGAAAAGTGTCGTTCCAACGTCTCCGCGAGAAATTACACGGCTTTTTCGTCGATTGACTCCGGACTCGAGCCGAGATAAAGACGCTCGACCTCCCTTTCTTCTACTTTCGTCGCGACTTTTCCGACGTTAATATCGTCGACATTCGTTGCGCGACTCAAATATTTGACGGGGGTAACAAACAAGTCGGCGAACGAAGTTATTTGTAAGACAAACATCGCGATCGGAGGCAATATCGAAAAACGATATCGTTCTCCCATGAATATCGATGCGAACTTGACTTCGAGTCAAGAAAGTTTGTCATAATGCGTTTATAAGTGCCGTATAAACGCTCGCATCGGTGACAAGCGTCATTCGTTTCAAAGTAAGAAAAGAAAAAAAAGAAAATCGCGTTACAAAGTCAACCAGAACGAAGTCTGATGTTCGCCGGTAAAAGCTACTACTTGCTATCCTCTAATCCTGTAACGAAGTACAGATAATCCGGAGTCGAAAGGGAATTTACACTCGTCTAGGGATTTACCCTGAACAGTCTTCTCTGCTTTAATGTTTGCACTGAATAAGAAACTCAACATCCTCCGTTAAACCTCATCAAATATAGCTTGCTAAAAGCTAGCAGATTCAACCCGCACGCTTTCTTGTAACAGTAATGAGACTAAATGTTAGAAATTTAAATTGACTGCGGTAGATAGAAAGGGTCGAACTGGTACTTTGTTTTCAATAACACTTCCGCGGTAGGAAGTTTCCAAGATGCCATGAAATTATCAAGAATCTTGCAGCTTCGCTTCATCTTTATTACATTTTAACAAGAAGGATGATGAACTTGGAGCGACAAACTACTCTCGATTTCACCTCAAGCTCCGACCGTCTTTAGTTTCCAAGCAACTCGGAGGTTCTCGAACCAGGATTCGAGAATTCATTCGATGCGATGAAATTAAAAAAAAGAGAGAAACGAAGGAAAAAAAGGCTGACGAGGAAGAGCGCGGTGGTAGCGTTAACCCCGACCGGAAAAGTCGACGGTTGCCCAGCAAAAGGGCACGGTAGAACCGGCTGATCGAGCACCCGTCACTGGCAGACGTCTAACCGACGTTTTCCAATTCGCACGGCCATTCACCAGCCTCCAATCGACAAAAGCGTCGGCTCTTTTGCAAATTGCAAATTGCCTGTACGAACGCGTACGCCGTTTGTTCCTCCCTCGGAAAAACGCATCGCTCGAGCCGCCACCGCAGCGGCAATACTTTTCTTCAATTTCCTCGAGACTTCCATTACAAACGCACTTTGATCTTCCGCGAATACGGTACCTTCTACATGAACACGGTGCTTCCTGAATAGAGAAAGCTCGTTCAATACAAACCTTACCGCGTTGCAAATTACAGTCGACTGATTTCTTCTAAAATCTTCATTGCTTTATCAGAATAATTTTCATGTCAAATATCAATTAGATATTTCATGTAACTTCCAACGTACAATAGCCATTTGAATCTAATTGCTTTCCATTTCGTGCAATTTCGGATATTGCACCGTATTCGCCAAAGTCTTTGTTATCTTGCCCGCCTACGATTTACGTTTTTCCCGCGCTCGCGGTCAGCAGGGTCGAAAGGACACCGAAAGGCGAACCGCAACACGAACGCAAACAAGATTACGTCGCTATCTGTGCGAGTTCCGCGCCGCTGAAAAATAAGAAGCAGACCCAGGCGTTAGCCCGACCACCGACAACAATTACGCGACAATTATCGGACAATGCAATTACGAAGCACGCCGGTAACCGCAAATTTCCACGAAACCGTCCGCGACCCTCGGTGTCCGGCATGGGGTGAGAAAACACAGAGGGGGTTGGAGAACGAGTACGAAGGGTCATGCCGGACACCAAAGAAACGAGGAGTTAAGACTGGTGCACATTTAAGTCTCACTGGGATGCAACGCGATATATTGCAAGAATGTTGTAATATACACTACAACGCGTCGTACAGGTTGCATGGATAAATATAATAAAAGTTTGTCCGCCGGTGATATCGTTGACACGGATCACTTCTTTCTGACGCGCGGAATTCTACATTGCATTACGTTGCGTTAATATGCGCGAACCCTTAAACAAAAAGAAGCGAAACAGAGCGGACCGTCTCGCGAGAACTCGCGCGTAACTCGCAAACGCCGACGCGTCTGCTCCGCGTGTTCTCGGGGAGTAGGGTAGCAGGGTAGAAGGGGTAAACGAAGAAGAGTCTCGCGCTAGTCAGTCGGCGGTGAGACTCCGCGTGCGATACCTCGTTGCAGAGGTACTTTTCCACCCCCTAGAAACGGGCCGCGCGATTTTTTTCATCGTCCCGTAATCGCGCCACGTGCCTGAACTCCATTCGCGAAAGAACAAGCAGAGTGATCCGGCGTGAAAAATTTTTTCTACCAGTGCGAACACATTTAGTGAACCAGTGCAAACTCATCGATAGTCGATCGTTATTTTTCAGGGAGGCATTGTCGCTGGTTGATCTCGTGTTTCCAGGGTAAAATTCCTATTTTCCCGTGATGCTCGAAGCGCGATGTTAGGCCTTTTCGTTACAGTTCGGTGCAGAGACCGCGGATGCACGACCGCGACGAAAATATCCTCGAAAAATCTCGGCAACCGGCCAAGCGGCCTCGAGAGATCGCTATAGTTCGAGGGACAGCTTTGATAAGATAATTTAAAGGGGTCTTCGCGATTTCAATCGTTCGCCCCGAGCCGAGCCGAGGTCCTTTCTCCATGCTGGAATCCGCTTAGCGAAGCTTCCTCTTCTTCGGGAATCCGTAGCCCTTTTTTACCTTTTCTTGATGCACTCGCGTTGGAAGCATGCTTGTGAAAAGCTTTTAACTATATCGTGTTTTACGAAAACTGACATTTTCATTAAGGGGTCGAGGGTATTTCCTGCCTCGTTTTATGTTCCTTTTCCAGCGACAAGATTTAGGGGACGATGATAAAGAAACGATACGATCGATAAAGAGACTTGCTTACTGCCTCGTGAAAGATAATAAAAAGAGTTACTATCGTACGTGAATTAAAACAACCTCTTTTCTTTTCCGAATCCGAAATTTTCTAAAATTTAAAATCGCGGAGAGGTCGTCAGAAAGAGATCAGACGGATAGAGGATAGACAGCTTTTTCGAAGTGGTCGTTCATGTGACTATGCATATTCAACCCTTGAAGAGAAAAACTAGTGAATAAAAAGTTTATAAACAGCGCAAAGCAACGTGACGATTTTTGCTGCGTCCCGTACCATCTCCTTTTTTCGCCGTGTGTACACGTCAAGAGTCAAGAGAGCATTTCCGTTCCGCCAGTGAGTAAAAACTAACAGCAGGGGTAAAAATTTTGCACAAAATGAGCGCGTATGTCGGGGAAAAGCACAGGGCTTCGTTTAAAAATCTTTGCAAATTATTTGTACCGGCCACTTTGCCACGAACCTTATGAACTTTCCACGTGAAAACTGGCAAGGATTTACAAAATTCACGTGTCTCGTGGAAAAGTCAGCAACCGAATCGTCACGTATCGCGCGTATTTCAAAATCATTTCAAGTCACAGTGGGGACACAATAATCCCTGAAGAAGACCAGGCTTTATCGGTTTTCAATTCGCTCGCCGCTCTGACATTTTCCTTCCCGCTACGAGGAATATTCGATCAATGATAGTAGTAATACGCTTCGATCCCTTTCGATTGCTCCATAAAATACACGGACCCCAGTGTCCACGTATCGGTCCATGTTTTGTTTACGCGCTTTTATCCACCTCCAACACAATTCTGTCAACCTCTGTCGCGCTACTAAATCACTCTTCCTATTCAGTCTATCCTCCGTCCGTTCCCGTATAGTTTGCCAGCTCCAAAGTATTTGCTACGGGTCAATGTAACTTGCGAATCAAAAGGTAACATTCAAATTGCTATCGCTTTCATTCGGTTTCGAAAATAAAACACAACGTCCGTACGTATGAAACCGTACAACCTATTAATCCGCTCGCTTTTTCATCGAAAAGTCAGAGTACAATTTCGCGTGACAACAAATTGCACGACACGTAATGTCACGGCGCTAAATTCGTTACGAAATTAAATTATTTTAATTTCTCGTGACATGCATAGACTAGTGTCACGCACTGTGCGCGTTGAAAACTGGATCGTTACATTCTACCTTGATCGCTATTGAACTCCACGTTTGAATTTTGTTCAAATCGAAGCATTCATAGCCTCCGTGAAAAACATACAGGGCTTCAAGTGCTCACTTTGCCAGTTTTAACATAAAAAAAAAAAAGTTTCAAATTTCCATTGATTTTTACAATTGCAATCTGAAAAAATATTTTATCTCTGCAACTATGGAATATAAAACCCTCGGTTATTTTCATTTCAATCATACTGCATTGTATTTTTAAATTAATTTATTTCTTTTTTAAATATGAAACTGCGTGAAAATATGACAGCAAAAGCCATGGCTTTTAGTATCCCGTGAAAATGTACCTACCCCTAAAAGAAATAAATAAAAATGAGTGTGTTCGTTTCGATACATTATCTTTTCAATAGTAAGGGTGTCCCAAGGCCCCGATAAGAGGAATCGTGAAGATAGTGGATAAGCTGGAAGATCAAGATCCCAGGCTCGATTCCCGGCATCCCAGTCCTTATTTTTCACCGATTCCCATGATACACATATAACGATCTCTCGATAAGTACACCGTTGCCTGGTCAGTCGGCTGACAAGTTAATTCGTCCTACCAAATTAACCCTGAAGAAAGTCTCTAACAACCCCACAATTTTCCACGATTAAACACGTGAAATCTATAAACAAACGTAAACTCGCCTTAAAGTAAATATTAATTTAACAAATGAAAATACTGAGAGTTCAGACAGCATAGAACTACCGCGAAATCCTAGCGAATGCAAATATTTAACGAAACGTACCACCAGCGGAATCGCCAGGGCAACGATGCGATTCGTTATTGAGGATTTCGCGGAAGGCCTAGCATCCCCGACACGCAAATCCTCGCGATCGAAGCTGTTCGATTTGCACGCTGATTCCGCGAAACCATGTTTCAGGCAGGAAGATCGATGAAATCCCGATGCGAGCACCGCCGTTGGAAGGAGAGATAGTGTTTCGCGAGTGATCCAGTGAGGCAGACCGAGAAGATCGAAAGGGAATCGTGGTACACGCGTTACGAGACGCGAAAAAACGCGCGACAGTGTTACAGACGTTTGTATATATGTACATATATGCCTGTGTGTGCGCGTGTGTGGTTAAGCGAGGAGAGCGTCAAGGGAGGAGATACGAATCCGCGGAAGCTGGGAGGAACGTTAAATGAATGTTGTTGCAAGGAGCGGCTGTGATCGTGAGAGTAGAATCGGTGCACGGCAGGATCGGCCGATTTCAATTCATAAATGTGCCAGAGACGGAGCCCACAATGGTGGTTCGGCTCCCGCAACAAGTTCTACTGCTGCTCGTACTCGGTGAGTCAGAAATATTGCTATCTCTCTAGAGTCAAAATTAAGGGTTCGATCGATAGGATACTGATTCCACAGGGTGAGATATGAAAAACTCCCAGTGGAAGAAACGCGGGTCTGATCGAACAGAAATACACTGTTCAGATCTCGTACCGTATGTTTAGCCTGGATATTCTTCTTCAATCGTTGTCCGAATGCAAGTTCAAATCCTTCCTTCTTCAAGGTCCTCGGGAATGTACAGCTACCTGTTACGCACAGAGGCAGTGGAAAAAGTGGGTTAAAACCGAAGGACTTTCCGTTTCTTGCCCTGAAGATTACCAACTTCTTTCCTTGGATTCAATTTGATCTGTGATATGTAAAACGAGATGAAAGTTTCAGAATTTTCAGTAGTTTAAAGAGAGATATCTAACTTCCAGTTCTTGTTCAGCAATAACTTTGGGTGGACTTATGGTATTACCATGATTTACTATCTTTCAAAGTGTGTCTTTCTACTTTTGATAACAAGCACGAGTTTATTCGATAGTCAGAAAATTTCGCAAGACAATATAGTTACTTCTGTAATGATATGTTAGAAATAGAATCGTCAAATCGCGATAGGGAAAGGGAACAGTGGACATTGCTACCACTAATTGCTTGCCGCGATTAGTCGCCTAACGCTACCCTGTTACGTTCATGCGAACAGTTAACTAGGTAAATTAGATCCAAATAAACAGCGATCTACCATAACTCGAGAATTTAGTTCTCCGTACAAGGGTTGGCCGAACAGTAATCTGCACACCAGCTGCAAACATAATTCTAAACCTAAACGACAATCAAGTAGACCACTGGTAAAACAATTTCTCTCTCCACAGATAAACTCGCACAATACAACACTAAATTAGACTGCTATTAGAAATCATGAATAATACCTTGTTATAACGAGGGTGCGTAACAAATGTGAAAGATCAATCGTTTCGATTGCTCCTTTTTTCGTGTCGTGAAAAGATGAACTGGGACCCAATGAACGAACAGGGTCGTTCGCCAAGAAGACAGATGGATTGGCAAAGTTTTAATTGACTAATCTGTCGACGATGGATAATCAGAATTTCAATCGGGAAGTTTGTCAAATCGAGTTAATCGCCCGCCACCCCAGCGAATCGTGTCTTTGACAAGACTTCGTCCATTTCAGTCACTATCAAACGTGGCACATGCGCTTCGACAAAAATCACTGCCAATCGATTTCTCTGTCGATAGAGTGTCTCGTCAAACGGCGAGCATAATCTAGACGTTTCGCACGATCAATTACATTGTCGTTTGGTACAATTGCGCTTTCAGCCGAGAACGGTGTCTAGGACAGTTTGCATTGTTCTCGTCGAAGCATAGTGTAAACTGCCGCAAGCTTTCGAGAACCGATGAAGTACCCCTTTCCCACGAGGACCACGGTGTTTGTGTTGTTTTTAGCACTCACAGAACCGTGATTCAAAACAAATGTTAATAACACTTTGATATCGCCCGTTCGTAACTTCCTATTTTAGAAAGAAAATTATTAAATTTTGTATATTATGTTAACGTGCCAAGGAAAAATAAGAATATAGGGTAGAATGTTTGTTGTATCAAGCTTAGCTCTCGCGAAAATTCAGCTTAAGAATTCAGAAAGAACAGGGCGGAAAGTGAAGTTTAATTAAGCAGCTTCATTCGGGTCAAAGCGAAATGAATAAAGTTTCGTTAAAGAAGATCAGAAGAGGACATGTGGAGAAAAGTTTCTTAAACATAAACACGAGATCAGAAGTTGACTGCACCTGATCCCTCAGATCTACGTAAAGGTCGCCGTAACGGGGCGCGGTAATTGCGAAATTATACAACGGGAATCATGAAAAGCCTCGGTATAGAATTTTATGGCAGGGATATCTGCTCCCGGAGAATACACCAGTTTCGTGTTTCACGTTGTTTCAAACATTCTACTGTTTAGTCTGCTTGAGAACTGAAATAGATTTCCTGAATCTCTGGAATCATATTGTTTTGTAAATTTATCGTTGCCTTTATAGGTGATTCGGAAGGATATTATTGAAAATCAATTTTCTAAATTACTATCACTATTACTATCACTATCAGTATTACTAGTAATACCAAATTCTTGCTTTCGTATCGAGGAGCAGACGTCTCCAATGATGATTGGTCGGAAGGAAGAGACGATTCCCTGAAGGTCCCATTCGTCGAAAGAAATAGTGACTTTCGACGTCTATATCAAAGAACGTTCCATCCAAGTTGCATCAAAGAATCGAAACGAAACTATTTCTATGCCGTTTGGAGACAGTCTGCTCAAAGAGCGTAGCTGCCACTCCTCCTGTCTCTTCTCGCTTCCATGACGGCTCGCAATTGCCATTTTATCGTACGAATAACGATTGTCAGATCGATTCTTAGCCTGACATCCCGACAAGAGTCGATGCCCCTTTTCATCGGCAAACCTTATTGCGCGAACACTCAATCAGAGTTAATTAATGAGAATATTTTTATATTATTAAATCATGTTAAATCTCTTGCATTTATAAATCTACCATTTAATATGGAATAACCATAGTACGTTCAACATTGGTAGCGTTCAAAAAATCATAGCATTAATAATCTACACAGTAAGTTGTATTTTGCATTCACCAAAAAAAAGTAGTTCACTGCAGTTGCACGAGATAATTAACAGACCGTGTTTAGTAAGCCAACACGTACATCCCTGTGAAAATTCCCTCAAATATAATTCTATGTCCTTCCTCCATATAATTTTCGGATTTGTGAGATAAAATTCTTCAATTCTAACGTAAAAATGGTTATTTATACTAAAGTTCCTCTGAATTTTCTAAGCATATCTGATAACAAGAATATTATTGTCACACAAGAGCGTTCACGAAACGCCAAGGCTCTTTGACTCGCGCCGAAAACGAGCTGTCCACTTTATTATCGTCGCGTTGCGGTCGCAGTTTTCCTCGAGTCCTGAGGGAAACTGGTCAACAGAGACGCTTGTGCAAAGAGCAAGTTCAAAAACCGCTTCTGCGACGGACAAACTTGTTCGGCTTTGTAATAAAACAGCGCCGTTTATTTGCATATCATCTAATTTGCTTCCGACCGATCCAACTCGCGAGAAGTTCATTTCTCATCGGGGCTCTCCTTCCGTATCGCGATTGCAATTAGTTTCCTTTGAATCGACACGCGATAAACGTTCGATAACAATCGACGCATGACTAATTGCTTCGCCGTACCAGTTGGCAAATAACTTTTATCTCGTTCGGTGATTATACTTTCTCTCAGAATACCTATTTCATAGCAAGTTTGAATGAAAGCTCGATGGACGTATTAGCTCGTCAATTTTCATTGGAAGCGTAAATCACGAAGTAGATGCGACAAGCTCCTCCGTAATTTCAATATCAAAACCTTTCAGGAATCCCCTGACGGATTGCTCTGTAGGTGGTTCAATGTAAAATCTATTTTGTCGGAGAACAATCATCCCGAATGACAGAATCGTTGAATAGTTCATGAAACCTATGGCTTCTGTTCGCGAGAAGATTAATTGGTATTTGTTTTTCAGCGAATGTTATATTCGAATCGCGTTCGAAAGTAGCTGGATTACCATCGCCATTACTCGTGGCGCGAAATCAATTTGCCACCGTAAATCCCTTAATAATTGAGGCGGACTCTATCGTCCCATAACGACGGAACTGGACTTGGCAATTTTCTCAGCTCGCATCCAGTCAAAAAGCTTTGTCCTTTATTTCTCTGCGTTTTCTGAGAAACTAGAAGACGAAAACACCTTTGCAAACCTCTTTTCCGTCAGTTCCGGGTAAGCACATTAAACGACCGGCAGTTTCGTTACGCTTCATCCTTTTCCTTTCTCCAAAGGGAGAAACTGTTGCGAGGAAGATCGATTTCTTTCACACGACACGGCACTTCAATCGTTTCGAAAATTTCAACGAATTCAACCTATTTGTAACCAAGATTTTCGAGACACTTTGTGTACTTTACTTGTTTGCCGGAAAAGCTCGTAGACTCGACGCAGCCTGAATCAGGATAATAAACAGACTGAAAACATCGACAAATCCCGGGCTTGACGGGGTGGGACTTTAAACGAGCAGAGAAATGTAATCCTGTATAATTAATGAACTCGTGAAAGCGTATTATACGGGTGAAAATGAAGCATTCATCTTTTGAGAAAAGACAGTCGGATACGCGGAAACTATTTCTATCAAGAGTAAACTGAATGTTATAGGAAACACTTTGCGAAATTGAACGTTTACATTTAGAGTAGCGTTATACCTAAATGGAGCACGTCTTTTCACGATCCTGTTACTGAATAGTTTTCCAGGATACTTTTGGTCCCTGAGCTCTAGTTCGTTGCTAACGTAGAACCTACCATTAAGAAGCAATGCGGGCAAAGAATCTCTCTGCACAAAGGGATCGGATAAAATATGAGATTGCTTTTATTCACGAGTTTAAAACACCGCTGTCAGAGTGATTTTGTTCGTTAAGCGATGTCAGCAAAGTTAATTGTTTCAATACACGGGGTGAAAGTAAATCTCACCCTAAAAAGGATCAAGCAACCTCCATCAGAATAATAACGTTTAATACCGATTAAGGGGATGAATGATAAAGTGTCCTTTTGTTATCAGAAAGTCCATAAGGTAATCATAAATGGAATATTCACCGTATGGATGAGGTGTTAATTGCTCGTAATTGTTCAGGGATCTAGTAATCGTAAAACAAAGACGCTTCGAATCCGCTCGATTACGTCCGACGGCATTATGTAGTCCAGTGCTGTAATTGGCAAGTTCGCAAATTTAATATCAGCGAGGAAAAGCCTGATAAACTTGTTTATCAGCGTTAGCCCCGGATCGAGGGTAAAACTGGGAGGAGAAACTGGCTACAGAAGTTACTCGGGACCGCGTCAGGCTTTATTAAAGTCAATGTATCGTGCAGATAATTTGCAGGTCTAATTGGCAATAAATATTCCGATGAGATGCAGAATGCGATACCTGTGTTAGAAA